CTGCGCTGCGCTGCGCTGTATCACCCAGCCCCCCGCAGCACGAGTGCTTGCTGTGGTCCCAGCAGGGCAGGGAGTGTGCGCCCGTTCCCCACCACCCTGCTGCCTGCTGCCCCGCCGTTTGTGCAGGTGTCGCGGCTGCAGGCCGCGGTGCTGATGGCAGTGCTGCTGCTGAAGCGCTGCGCCAACCACATGGAGGAGCTGGCGGAGGGGGTGCAGCTGCTGTCAAGCGCGGGTGAGGAGCGGCGGTGCCGCTTGAGCAGCAGGGCTGGATGGGGATGGCAAGTGCCATTGGGGGTGGTCAGACGGGCAGCCTGCTGTGCCGCGTGCAGGGGCTGCGCCTTCATGCGTGTGGGGTTGGCTTGCATCACTCCATCCCTCATGCCAGCTCACCCCCCGCCCCTCTCCCCTGTAAAACCTCCCTGCCGTGCAGATGGATCCCCCGCCACCAGCATCACCAGCTTGGTGCCGGCCATCGACCGCAGCCGCGACCGGCGCCCCGAAGCGCCGCACGCCGAGGTGCCGCTGCAGCAGCCCTGCGCAGCGTCGCTGCTGGAGGCCGCCGGCGCCGTGGTGCAGCAGCTGCAGGACAAGCAGGTGCGGGCGGCATGGCTGCTGCCTCTGCTGCGGTGCTGCTGTGTGCCTGCTGCACGCTTGCACGTCCCCTCAGCTCCGCTCTGCATCCTGCCCTGCCTGTGCGCCGCCATCCCACCGCCCCCAGTCCCCCTCTTGCCACTTCTTGATCATGCGAACATCCACCCTTCCTGCAGGCCGGGGGGGCCCTCACCATCCCTGAACAGGCGGTGCTGGACCACTTTGAAGCTGCGGTGCAGGAGCAGGACACGAGCGCCCTCATCCAGGCCATCATCAAGGGTGGGGCTAGTTGGTGGCTGGGGGCCGGGGCCAGGGCCTTTGCTGCTGGGCAGGCAGGCATCAGCCTACTCAGCATGGGCTGGCGCAGTCACGGCGGGTGGCCACACCCCAAGGGGCAAGGTGCACACCCGGGAGCTGGGCGCAGTGTGCCTCACCTCCCCTCCCTCCGCTCCGCCCCTGCAGCGCCGGCTCGAGCTGCGTGCCAGCTGAACACCAAAATGTTCCGTCCTTTCTACCTGGCAGTGGAGCATGCGGCCGACGTCGGCTACCACCTGGGCGCGCACACGCCGACACCGCCGCCTGGCCGCAGGTGCGCCGAGCCTGGCGCGGCCCGCCCGCGCAGCTCAGCTGCGCCTGCCCTGCCAGCCTGGTTCTGTGCCTGGAGGTGCCGCTGTGTGTGGGGGATGTGAGATGGGAGATGCGGTGAATTCTGGAGCCTCCGCCTGCCTTGCCTACCTCTCTAGCTGAGCTTGGTTGCCCCATCCCCCCTGCGTGCCCGCCCGCGCAGTTCCTGAAGGCACTGCGGATGCTCTTCGACGCGATGGTGGGCAAGACGGCGGCCGGTGCCCCGGAGGAGGCCATGGGGCTGGTGCATGAGGCGGTGCCACACCTCACACCCTGCTCGGTAGGCGAGAAGGTGCACAGCCTGTTGATAGGTTAGTGGGCGAGGGGAGGGCTGGGGAGGGAGGCGGGCGGGCGCGGCCCCGGCGTGGAAGTGAGCCAGCCGGCAGGAGCAGAGACTGGCAGGAGCTGCTGGCTCTGCTGGCTCTGCGGGCGGCAAGTGGCGGATGGCAGTCCATCCCGTTGCGGCCACGGCGGTGGCCGCCCACCTCCCAGCTTCCCTGCCCCCCTCCCCCGACCCACCTGCCTGCTGCAGATGCGGTGATACCAGACTTCACCGCCCTGCACCAGCTGCTGGTGTGCGGGCGCCTGGCGGGCCCCGACATCCTGCCCATCCTGGAACTGTGCAACGCCCGCTCCCTGGGCATAAGCAAGGGCCTGGGGGCGCTGCACGTCCAGGCCTGCAACCTGGCGCAAATGGCTCGCATGCTTGGCGTGGAGGTTCCCGCCGCCATCCAGGGCAGGCTGGACAAGGTGCGCGCCCGCCTGCCCCGCCCGCCTGCCTTCCACAGCCGGCAGGCCACGGGAGCAACTTGCTTGAAGCTGGGTGTGCCCCCCGAGGCAGCTGACAGGCCCCTCGCCCCTTGCCGCAGGTGGAGGCACGCCGCACTCTGAACGCCATTCAGAACGGCTTCGCTGCCTGCGCGGTGGGTGCCTGCATCCAGCTGTGCTCCGCAGCGACAGCCGAGCATGCGGACCTGCCACTCAGTCGGGACCACACCACAAACTTGGGAGAGTTGCCCACAAGCCTGCCTTTCTCTCCCTTTCTGCAGCTGGATGGCAGCGCCAGCAGCGCCGGCGCCGGTGGCGAGCCCGGCTTTGATTTTCTCAACGTTGCCATGCACTCGGGGAGCCGCAGGCAGGCGGTGCAGCAGACTGAGGCGGCAGTAGAGGCGGCCGCCAAGGGCGACCCTGGCGCTCGTGCAGCGCTGGCGGCTCTGGCGGGCTGCAACCCGGTGGCGCCCTGCTGGCTCTCCGGCTGCCACTGGCACGGCGGCAGCCGCGGCATGGTGCGTGAGCAGGGCGTCCCCGAGGTGGAGGCGCGGGCGACGGCGCGGCGGCGCTGAGGAGCCTGGCGCTGGCGGCGCTGGCGCAGGTGCCCGCAGGCTGGGTGCCCGCTCAGGCGGTGGATGTCCGCAGGCTGTGCCGCCGGCCATGCTCAAACTAGGCAGAAGTAGAGTATCCGGATGATGATGTAATGCACTTACCAGCCATTGCAACAGGTGGCAGGTTCGGTTGACTCGCTTGGGGGGCGCAAGCCCGCACTGGCGCCTCCAGCAGGGCGCCGTCGAAGAAGGCACCAATGCACAAGCTAGGACCTCCGTTGGCGCGCCGCTTTCACCCCTGCGCCGTGGAGCGTTCTTAACGCGATGTGTTGCTGGGCAGGTTGCATCGCGATGGGCGCCACGCCCCAAACGCCGCACCAGCAGGCGGCCGACCTGCCGGAGGGCCAGGAGGGGCAGCATCTGCCGCGGCGGCAGGAGTGCTGGTAACAAGTGCCGCAGCAATGCCGCAGGCAGGATGGCAGTGAGGCTGCAGGTGGAGGGACCGGGGGGCTTTCGCGGGGCCGCCAGCTCAGCGCCGGCCTGGAGCCCCACCGCCAGCGCCGCACAATCCCTGCCTGCTGTAGCTGCTCAAAACAGTGCCCCACTGAATCCCTCACCATCCAAACATGCGCCGCAGCAACGCCGCAGGCAGGATGGCAGCCAGGCTGCGGGTGGAGGGACCGGGGGGCTTTCGCGGGGCCGCCAGCTCAGCGCCGGCCTGGAGCCCCACCGCCAGCGCCGCACAATCCCTGCCTGCTGTAGCTGCTCAAAACAGTGCCCCACTGAATCCCTCACCATCCAAACATGCGCCGCAGCAACGCCGCAGGCAGGGTGGCAGCCAGGCTGCGGGTGGAGGGACCGGGGGGCTTTCGCGGGGCCGCCAGCTCAGCGCCGGCCTGGAGCCCCACCGCCAGCGCCGCACAATCCCTGCCTGCTGTAGCTGCTCAAAACAGTGCCCCACTGAATCCCTCACCATCCAAACATGCGCCGCAGCAACGCCGCAGGCAGGATGGCAGCCAGGCTGCGGGTGGAGGGACCGGGGGGCTTTCGCGGGGCCGCCAGCTCAGCGCCGGCCTGGAGCCCCACCGCCAGCGCCGCACAATCCCTGCCTTCTGTAACTGCTCAACCAGTGCCCCACTGAATCCCTCACCATCCAAACATGCGCCGCAGCAACGCCGCAGGCAGGGTGGCAGCCAGGCTGCGGGTGGAGGGACCGGGGGGCTTTCGCGGGGCCGCCAGCTCAGCGCCGGCCTGGAGCCCCACCGCCAGCGCCGCACAATCCCTGCCTGCTGTAGCTGCTCAAAACAGTGCCCCACTGAATCCCTCACCATCCAAACATGCGCCGCAGCAACGCCGCAGGCAGGGTGGCAGCCAGGCTGCGGGTGGAGGGACCGGGGCGCTTTCGCGGGGCCGCCAGCTCAGCGCCGGCCTGGAGCCCCACCGCCAGCGCCGCACAATCCCTGCCTGCTGTAGCTGCTCAAAACAGTGCCCCACTGAATCCCTCACCATCCAAACATGCGCCGCAGCAACGCCGCAGGCAGGATGGCAGCCAGGCTGCGGGTGGAGGGACCGGGGCGCTTTCGCGTGGCCGCCAGCTCAGCGCCGGCCTGGAGCCCCACCGCCAGCGCCGCACAATCCCTGCCTGCTGTAGCTGCTCAAAACAGTGCCCCACCGAATCCCTCACCATCCAAACATGCGCCGCAGCAACGCCGCAGGCAGGGTGGCAGCCAGGCTGCGGGTGGAGGGACCGGGGGGCTTTCGCGGGGCCGCCAGCTCAGCGCCGGCCTTGAGCCCCACCGCCAGCGCCGCACAATCCCTGCATGCTGTAGCTGCACAACCAGTGCCCCACTGAATCCCTCACCATCCAATCATGCGCCGCAGCAACGCCGCAGGCAGGATGGCAGCCAGGCTGCGGGTGGAGGGACCGGGGCGCTTTCGCGTGGCCGCCAGCTCAGCGCCGGCCTGGAGCCCCACCGCCGCCTCTGCACAATCCCTGCCTTCTGTAACTGCTCAACCAGTGGCCACGCTGCGCCTTGCTCTCAAGCGGGCTTGCTGCTGCGGCCGCCAGGCCACGCTTGGGCGCGCGCCGGGCAGCTGCTGCTGCTGCCTGTTGCACCGCGTTCTGCAGGGGCAGGGCCACAGAGGTGCTGGGGAGGTGGGGAGTCTGTTTAAGGATCATCCTGATTTGTAGCAGTCGAAGGGTTGCGGACTGGGGGCCAAAGGCTGGCAGGAAGCAAGCCAGCGTGTTGCGGTGGTGGTATCATTTACCTGTGCAGTCGGCTGGATGGGTCCCAGGACTGCCCTGGGAGTAGCTCCTGCCCTGGGAGCAGGTCCGCGGATGTGCAATCTATTCATCAAAGTTTCAATGAAATTGATACCCTGCAACACAGGAGGTAGCACCACAGGTGGGGCAGAACATGGCCTCAAAGCAGGCCGCGTGCTAACATGGTGGACAGGCATTCATGTTTGAGAGGAGACTGGCCTTGAAGACTGTGGTTGAGAGCATGGAGCACATGCACTAGTGCAAGTACTTGCCAGCTTACCTTGTGAGGGGTGGCCGCAGGGCCAGGAGCCGCCGCAGCGCCTGGCGTGCCGGTGCAAGTGCGTGCTCCGCTGCCTGCTGCATGCCCCTCCTGCGCAGCTCCAGCGCGGCCCACACTGGCACCAATAACTGCCGCCGGAGCCAGGGAGGGGAGAATGGCCGCAGCGGATGGACCACCGCCGCCGCTGCTCGTGCTGCTGGGCCGCGGCACTGCCGTGGCAACGGTGCGTCGCGCTGGGTGTGTGGCCTCCAGCGAAACTGCTGCTGGTGGTGGTGGTGGTGGAGGTGGTGCTGCTGCTGCTGCCGCCTCCATGGCCACTGCCTGGCTGCCGTGGCCTGGGAATGCAACCGCAAAGCCTGCCTCCGCACTGCGCTGCGGCAAATTCTCGCGGAGGGAGGTGAGCGCCCTGCGCGCCGACTGCCCTTCGCGGCACCCTTGCAGGAGGGATGCCACCACCGCGATGGCGGCTAAGCAGCGCAGTGCGCAGCTGCTGCGCTGTCGGCCTGGCTCGAGCGGGGCCGCCCTGGCCCGAGCTGTGCTGCTGCTGCCGCTGTGGGGACGGCTGCGGCACTTGCTCAGGCTGTGCGGCTGAGGGGCGACTTGGGGTGATGTTGGCTGCCTCTCCCAAGTGCCGCCCCTGCTTCTCTGTGGCATCTGCACCTGGCGGCGTGGGCACTGTCTTGCTGTGCTCACCGGCAGGTGTGCCAGAGAGCTGTGCAAGCTGCTGGCACTGCTTCTCAGGCGCCGTCTCCTCAGGCACTGCTGCTGCCGCTGGCACGGGCGCCAGGAATGGCTCCCCAGGCACTGGTGCTGCTGCTGGCGCAGGTGCAAAGGCTTGCGCTGGTGCAGCGGCAGCTGGCGTCGCCGCTGGTGCTGGCGGCGCACGCACCTGCTGCTGCAGCAGGGTAGTGTACATGGCGGCCTCAGAAGCCACGCGGGCAACCCGCAGTATGTGGGTGAGCAGGGAGCCGCTGTTGAAGCTGGCTAGGAACTGCTGATCCTGATCGAAATACTGCAGCAGCGCTTGGTGCACAGCATTTCTACAGCTGGGCACCAGGCCTTCCACAAGCTCCAAAGCTCATGAGGCTGGCTGTCCAGCGTGGTGCTCAGCGCCAGCTCCAGCTGCTGCTCTTGCACCCGGATGCCCGCCACCACACACACCGCACGGAGGAGCCACCAGTCTGAAGGGGCAGGCAGGCAGCACGGGCAGCAGGAGGGATGTCAGGTGAGGCACAACGTTGGCTGTTCCAGCGTTTGAAAAGGCTTGTCAGCACTTCAGCACTCCATCCGAAGCACCACGCATGCTGCCTGCCCCACCTTCTGCTATGCTCCTGCTTGGCTCCTCGCCGCTCATCTTGGCGGCCTGCTCCGCCATGCCCAGCACGACCTGTGCCATGCCGCTCAACGCCCGCACCGCAGCGAGGCCCGTCACAATCGGCAGCAGCTCATCCCCGCACAGCAGCTCCGGCCGCAGCGCCGACCGCACATCACTCATCAGGAACTGGGTGGCTGCGACCAATTGCCGTCCGCATTGCGAGTAGGGGGCGGGCCCCGGCGGCTGGTTGTGGAACAGCCCGCCAAAGGCGCCCTCCTGTGCCGGGGCGACATCGGTGATCAGCAGGGCGCCTAGCTGGTGTGTCTCAAAGCCGCAGGTGTAAGGCACGACTTCCTCGCTGCCGGTCGCCATCTGTTGGCGGCTGCCCCCCGTTGCTGCCTGAATGGTTGCCAGCAGGGCTGCTGCCTGTGCCCCCCTGTGGCCTCCCTGCTGCACCGTGTTGGACAGGTGCAGCTCCAGCGGGCTTTCCTCCAATCCGTAGGCATACTGCGCAGCTTGACCTGCAGGCAGGTGGCAAGATGTGTACACATTAGATGGCGTTCAACCCATCGATGCACATAATTATGCCACAGACGCTGCAGATGTCCTGCCCGACGTCGCTTTCTGCTGTCTGGCCTGAAAAAGGAGGCACACCTGCATAGCGCACTCCCTCCAGGATCATGTCGCTCAGCGACATCAGCGACTACGATGACCAGATGGAAAGCATGGGGCGCAGCCCTGGCACCATCGGAATGGCATCAGCAAACCATCCTGCCTGCTGGTACTTTGCCAGCGCCGGGTCTGGCTGCACCGGCTACAAGCACAAGGACCGCGAAAACATCCTGGATGCAATTGGATAAACGTGAAAATGTGTGGCTCCAGATAGAGGGCTACTTGAGTGCTCGGGTCAACTCGGCTCTCAACGCCACTTACAGCGGCTGCAGTACATCCGGTAGCTTAAACGTGCGGTTCTTGAGTTGCAGGACATGCGCCTGGACATCGCGTCGAGCCACAGAAAGGGAGGCAGTGCGACACCCCTTTCTGACCTGCATACACACTTGGTGACAGCATGGTGCAGCCCCACCTACCGGCATCGCCGCCAGCCCAGGGTTGGCGGCGAGCAGGCGCTGCTCGGCCTCATACCACGAGTCAAAGGCACGCTTGTAAATGCTGGCGAATGCTAGGCGCACGGACTCCGGTATCAATGCGGCAACCTGCGCAGAGTGGATCACACCATGCATCAAAACCATCCAGAGAGGCCACGCACAGTCACGAGGCTGCTGCTGGCAGCACCACCATCATACCTCGGGGTCCGCCAGGGTACACAGCGCCTTCAGGCAGCCCTCCTCGACGGACAACTCATCACATTGGTCCTGCAAGGTAGGGCAGCACAGCAAGCGCATAGCAGCAAAGTTGCCCAGCACGACCTGAATGTGCTCCCTGGAGCAAAGCTGCGCTCGCATCTTACCATGACTGATGCGGCCAGCACCTCCATCGACGCAGAGAAAGGTCCCAGCAGCAGCTGCGCTGTGCCCCGCTGGCTGGGCGAGGGCTGCATCATGATAAAGGTGGGGAAGAGCCTCCACAAGCTTCACTTCCCGGTTTTAACGTCTAGCTTTAGACCATTATTTGATCTGCCCGACGCGCCAAGTGCAGTACCCCCCACTAGTAGTGAATGGGTCCCGGGGAGGCCTGTGCCGAAGCCTTGGCGATTCTATTAGGCGTTCCCGAAGGAATTGGCTTGGATTGGCGCTGAGCCGGTCAGCGATGATGCCCAGCAGCAACTGTAGCAGCTGCATCATCTGCAGGGCAGGCGAGGGAACAAAACAGGGTGCATGTTGTGTTGGATGCCTGAGCAGGCGCAATGAGGAGCCTGCCAGCTCGTGCCACAGACTGGCAGCCCAGCGCTCTGCCGTAGTCTCTGCTCCAAAACCGAATAGCTCACCCGCTGGTGCACTTCAGACCGCGGCCTGAAGCCGCGCAGTGCAGCAAAGGGCGTCCACATGACGCCGCCAGAAGCCAGCTGGTTGAGCAAAGCAGCGCTCAGGTTGTGCAGTAGTTTCGGGTCTGCAGGGAGGGCAGGTAGGGCAGGCAAGAAGCTTGGAGGGACAACAAGAGCCAGAAGGCCAGCGGGATCTCCTGCCCAACCATAAAGGTGGGGAAGAGCCTCCACAAGCTTAACTTCCCGGTTTTAACGTCTAGCTTTAGACCATTATTTGATCTGCCCGACGCGCCAAGTGCAGTACCCCCCACTAGTAGTGAATGGGTCCCGGGGAGGCCTGTGCCGAAGCCTTGGCGATTCTATTAGGCGTTCCCGAAGGAATTGGCTTGGATTGGCGCTGAGCCATGTACAATCGTGTTTGGCACCACCATTCAGCAGCAGTGGGCTGCAACCTTTTCGAAACTCACATTCGTGGTACCGGGGGACCCCCAGCATCAGGGTGAACAGAGTCAACCCGAGCGCTGGCAGGTCGGAGGAGGGATCAAGGCGTCTGTGCACATGGACTTCCGGCGTCTGGGCATACCGGTGGCCACAGAAGTCGAGGAAGCCGAACCTGCAGGAAATAGATAACGGCTATTCACCATTTTGTGTGAAGATCATGTCAGAAACTGCCTCCTCTTTCCCAGCCTGGGGCAGGCCCACCTTGGCTGCCCAGTCCACGCCCTACACTCCACCCCTTCCAGCTCCCACGGGCGCTCGCTGGCCTTCTGCATGGCGCCCACGTCGCCAATCAGGGGCTTGTATACCCCACCCTGCCCACTTGCAACCGGGTCGTACTGCACCTGCACAGCACAGTGGCATCAGCAAAGACATAGGCCGCGGCTAAGAAAGGCCTTCTTTGAAGGCGCTGGAGCTAGTGTCTAAACCCTCCGAGAGGGCACAGGTTCGATTCCTCCCATGTCGAAACTTTGTGAGGACAAACGCGGCATAGCTGACCGGCTCAGCGCCAATCCAAGCCAATTCCTTCGGGAACGCCTAATAGAATCGCCAAGGCTTCGGCACAGGCCTCCCCGGGACCCATTCACTACTAGTGGGGGGTACTGTGTGTGTGTGTGTGTGTGTGTGTGTTTCACAGGGATTGGGCACATTAATGTGCTGGGGCCGAACCCGCTAACCCTGCCGGCTGTCCAGAGCGAGGAAAATCTGGCCGCCGATGGCATCCCGGGGAGGCTCCGTCTTGCAAGCGCCATGCCGGTCTGCCGGGCAGCCGTCCGCCGCCCAGATGCCGCCACGAAGGTGCCGTGAGGCAAAGTCCCAGCTAGTGTCCCGGCTGGGGTTCGAACTCGTGCCTGTGGTATCACCCACCGACACTCATCCAGCTCCTTATTTAACGTCGCGGCCAACGACGAGGTACTGCACTTGGCGCGTCGGGCAGATCAAATAATGGTCTAAAGCTAGACGTTAAAACCGGGAAGTGAAGCTTGTGGAGGCTCTTCCCCACCTTTACCTTTACCTTTTACATGTGGTCAACACCACTGAGCCAGTCAAGGGGCCGAGTAGCCGCTGCCAGGTGGGCATGCAAAGGCACCCATGCACAGGGGACAGCGTGCCCTGCCCGCTCGCCTCCCTAGCCAGCTCACCAATATGTTGTCGGGTTTGATGTCACGGTGCACCAGGCCCAGCCGGTGCAGCTTTGCCATCAAATTCACGATGCAAGTGAGCAAATTGAAAAAGTCTGCGCCACTCAACTTCCTGCGAGGGGGCCAGGAGGGGCAACGCAGCCACGAGTGAGGTGGGCGCGACGCAACACACCCAGGGCAACTCTGTCTGGGCAGGCAGCCACGGCAGCCACAGCGCTGCCTGCAAGCCACTCACCTGCCCTCGCGGTCCAGCCCCGCTCCCTGGGCATATTGCATGATAATGCATGGAGGGGTGGTGGCGTCGCCGAAGAAGACTGCCAAGACGCGGGGGAATACGCCGTGCAGGTCGCCCCTCTTCAGCATCCCCACCTCATGCATCATTTCGATGCGGTTGGCGGTCAGACATGCTGAACCAGTGATGTATTTAATGGCAACTAGCTCTTCGTTGAACATGCCTGAAGGGAGCATTGGGCAAGCAGGGCTATCTGAGCGGCGCTATCAACACTCCGCAGGTTGGCGGGGCGGCGTGCAACAGCAGACGACCACCATGCAGGCATCCGACAGCAATTACTGCAAAGTCACCCCACTCACCCAAATGCACGGAGCCGAAGCATCCGCTGCCGATCCGCGCTCCCAGAATGCCGCTGGTCCCCGGAATCTGCTCTATTGGCAGCGGGCCCTTGCCGCCGTGCTTGTTGGGGTGGGCGCCTAGGGCGGGGTCCGCAGCGTAGAAGCAGCCCCCCGTAGCGCAGTGAAGAAGGGAGCTGCCATTCAGCAATTCTAGCTGCATGCAGCGGACAGCACACAGGAGAGAGCGAGTGAAATCTTCACGCGAGCAGTGTTGGGCACTGGTGGGGCGGGGGCGGGGTACAGTGTCTGGGAACAGGGCGCGCCCAATGCTAACGCTACACTCACATTCTGCTGGGCGGCAAACGCCTGATGCGCCTCCTCCATAGCGTCCTCCGGTTGCGCCATTCGACGGATGCGGTTGGGGGCTATCCCTCGGAGGCGACGCCTAGGCCTTGGACAGCACCGCAGACAGTTCCTAGACCGTTTATAGCGGGTTGCGGGTCTGCTCGCTCACATGCGGCCACAACGTTGCGGCCAATTCCTGGCCCGGGGTGCAGGCAGGCGTCCGCAGGCTGTTTGGGAGCGATAGGATAGGGCGGCGACACAGAAGGACACGCAGGCGGGAGCCTGGGACAGTGCTATGAGGCCTTGCCAATGGGCGCCGTGCGGCAGGTGCGCTGTGCAACGAGCAGGCGGCGCTTCCCACTGCTGGCAATCATTGCCAATGGTTGACGAAGTATTCCTACGTGGTGAGACCTGTACGCTGCAAGCAGCAGGGAGCATCCTGGTGCCCAGGTGTGAGGGGCACGGCAGCGGCCCCAGCGACGGCAATGGCCAGCGACGGCAATGGCGGTGAGGAAAGACAAACACTACTGCACCTGAGCCTTTGCAATTGTTTCTTCTTATTGCACAGAATTGACTGTGCATTGCTCGCGGCAACACATTGTCTTGTTCACCTATTGGTGGAGTGGTTGGCGTTCGCTTGTTTTGACTGGGTTCCTGTTAATCTACACACGCCTGTGATCACTGCTGGCTTGCGCAACAACCCGCAAACAGCGGCCGCGCGAGAGCAGGTTCGCATGTGGGCCCAGTGGGGCACGCGACTGTGCTCAAAACGAGCGGCAATAACGATTGCTGTTGGCATGGTGCGGGGACCGCATCTCCTTGACCCTGCCGCCGCCGCCGCTGCTGCCGCCACCGGTCCATCCTCTGCAGGCAGCCCGCCCCACCCCCCTCCAATGCAGCAGCTGGGCATGGAGCTGCGGGAGGGCTCCTGCTTCGCAGAGGTCACCCGCGGGGCGCTGGACCAGGCCAGGTATGTATCGCTTGTGTCCGAGCCGGCTGCGGGAGCCATCGCCACATTCCTGGGCGTCACTCGAGACAACTTCCAGGGCAAGGCCACCCAGCGGCTGGAGTACGAGGCATACGTGCCCATGGCCGCCAGGAAGCTGCTGGTGGGGCGGGGCTGCTGGCGTGCAGAGGCAGCCTGCACCTGCAGCGGTGCTGCCTGGTTTGGCGGCACGCCGGCAGGCTGGCCGGCACAGCGCAGCACGCAGGCGTGCTCGGCATGGGAAACTGTTGCCGCTGCCTTGCCTGCACTGCAGGAGCTGTGCCAGCAGGCGTGCGGCAAGTGGCAGCTGTGCAGGATGGCTGTAGCACACCGCACAGGCACGGTGCTGGTGGGGGAGGCCAGCGTCATCATCGCAGTCTCCTCGGCACACAGGCGGGAGGCACTGGAGGTGGGCAGCCGGCGCTGGCGCCTGCTGCCTCTGGCCGTGTCAAGCAGCGAGCCAGCACGCCGGATGCCGATCTGCCGCTGACGCTTTGCTCCCTGTCCCGCCGCAGCAGCATCCGCACGCACCAGCAGCCTGCATGTTGCAAGTTGCCAGGCCCTGTGTGCAAGCTTGCCTTATCCCTGCTCTCCTGCTTGATCTAACCCTATTCTCCTGCTTGACACAGGAATCGTGCTGCCCCCTGCAGGCCTGCCATTGGGCTATTGACGAGCTCAAGGCCACCATTCCCATCTGGAAGAAAGAGGTGTTTGAGGATGGCGAAGTGTGGAAAGAGAACGAGGAGTGGCGCCAGCAGCAGCGCGCGGCTCGGCAGATGGCGGCAGGGGTGGCAGCAGCAGGGGCAGCAGCAGCCGGAGGAACAACGGCGACGCAGCCGCAGGCAGGCACAGGCAGCTGAGGGCAGAGGCGTGGCGAACAGCTGCCTTCTCCTGGCGTGTCGACCGTCACAGCCTCAGGTTTGGCTCTTCCGTTTGAGGGTCAGCCATTGGGCTTACAGTATGTGAAGGTAGTGCTGTCAAAGCGTAGACGCTCAGCAATAACATTGCAGAGGCAAGGTGGCAACAACCAACAAGGCGACCAAAACCTGGACGAGCGCTGAAGGCCATCGCAGCAGGAAAAAACCGAGGCAGGCATTCGCGAGGGTCATGCGTTGCGGATTCGTTGGAAAAAGACAGGGCAAGCCGCACAGACGGGGCTTGAATCGCCAACTCACTCAGTGGCAAGATGTGCAGAGGGGCCTGAATCGCTGGCTCACTTCACGTGCGCTAGATGCGGGCGCGCAGGGCAGTTGGGGGCCGCGGCATCCATCAGCGCACAAGGGCAGCGAGGGGTGCCGTGCAGTAGCGACAGGCTCAATGGCCGCCCGCGTGGCGCCGCACCATGCCACCACGCCGCAGCAGCATGATGCTCAGAGTCCCAGGTGCTTGCGGATGGCCTCTGTGGCCAGCGCCGCCGCGGTGGTCCCCTGCTTCTCCGCCGCCGCCTCCAGCGCCGCATACACATCCTCCGCGATGCCCACCTGCACGGCGGCCTTGACGGGGCAGCACGCAGGCGGCCAGGCGCCGCTCAGCACAGCCAACCAGCCCCCCACACAGCAAGCAGTCCGAAAACAGGCATCAACGAAACGGCAACAGGGCGCCCCTTCAACACCCTAGGAACCACTGCCCAGGCGGAGCCACCCGCAGCGCCACCTACCTTGGGCAGCTTGTCGGCGGCAGACGGCGCAATGTAGCCTGCCTGGTACTCGCGCACCGCGTCAAAGCCCACCCGCGCCACAAAGTCGCCCAGCGTCTCCTCGCCGCCCCGCCGCTGCGCCTTGAACATCGCAAAGATCGGCTCCAGGAAGGTCTCAAAGTCCTGTGGTGGCGGGGCGGGGCCAGGACGAGCAGCCATGGTGAGGAGCAGAGCGATGCGGTCACCAGAATAAACACAGCAAAAAGCAAGAGAGAAAAAATAACACTTCAGTCTTCCTTCACCCAGCCGCAGCCAGCAGCCACCCGCAGCCAGCAGCCGGGCAGGAGCAGCAGCAGCATGCCGAAGCCATCCCCGCGCCGCACCTTGGCCTTCACCCGCTCCGCAAACGGCTCTGCCAGGCGCGTGGCGTTGAGGGAGCCGCCCAGCCAGACCTGGTACGAGTTGGGGCCGTCGCCCACAAACCCTAGCTCAGCCATGTATGGCCGCGCGCAGCCATTGGGGCAGCCTGCAGGGCAAGGTGAGGGGTGCAGGTTGGTCGCAGCGAGGAGCAAGGCAGCACTGGGGCCTGGGCTCGCCGACTCGCCCAGCTGAGCCAGCTGGCTGCGCGTCAGGAGGAGCGGCAGCGCAAAAGCCCCTGACTCCACCCTCAGCTCATCTACATGCAGCTGCTGTGCCCACAACCCAGACACATACACACATCAGCACACATCACACAACACGCGCCCAGGCAGCCCACTCACCGGTGGCGCGCACCACAAACTTCTCGCTCTTGTCAAAGCCCAGTCCGTCCATGAGGGCTCGGATGCGGGCGTTGATCTCGGGCAGCGTGCGCTCCGCCTCGCCGATGGCCAGCCCGCACAGCGGCAGCGCGGGGCAGGCCATGGACAGCGCCTCGATTTTGTCCCAGTCCAGAATGTCCTTCACGCCGCCGGCCTGCGGTGGAAGCCGTGGTGGTGATGGTGGTAGTGGGTGTGTAGTGGGAGGTTGATGGGAGCGTGTTGCAGACGGAAGAGTGACAGAATTGGTAGCAGCAGCGGCAGCAGCGCAGACGGTGTCGTTTCGCGACAGCAGGTTGGTGGGTTGTGTGTGGCAGACGTCAAGGCATGGTGCAGGGTGCAGGCGAACAATGGCTCAGCATGGGGGCCTCAGACTAACGAGATTCCAGTGCTTTGATCGTCAGAGATTTAGTCGGATGGTACGGACAAACACGAAGCTCATCACTAGCCCTAACGCCGAGCAGAACAGCCAGATCCGGGATGGCGTGCAGCAGCATGCAGTGCAGCAGCAGCCTGTAGCACCCACCACAGCAGCAAACCTCTGCTGCTACCTACGACTCCTGCAGCGTTTATCCGGCCACCCCACATCGGCCCACCCACAACCCGAGCCACCCACCACCATCCAGCAGGCGTTTGCCCCTCAGCCGGCGGCCCACCTTGAGGGTGGACAGGATGTCGTCCTTCCAGGACGGGTTGATGTCGCGCAGGATGAGGTTCTGGTTGGGCGTGATGGTCACGGGCAGCTCGTACCGCTCAATCACGTTGCGCAGCGCCTTCTTGGGCTCCCCCTTCACGCGCCCGTTCTGCGGGCAGGCCAACAGAATGAGGATGGGGTGCTTGTTTTCCAGGCGTCATTCAGCTGAATCAAAGATGCATGGTGGCGAACATGAGAGCAGGCCGAGTGCGTTGGCCACAAAGGATGCTGCACTTTCCTCCCCTCTGGACCGCACCTGCACATAGATGCCGTAAGCCAGCTTGCCGTCTCCCTGCTCCATCCAGCCCAGGTAGTCCTTGAACTCCCATGAGGGCAGCGGGCGGAAGGGCTGCATCAAAACAGAGCAGGGCGGCGCAGAGGCGGCGTCAGCAGCAGAAGCAGCAGCTGAAGCAGCGCGGCCACAAAGCAGGGCACAAAACGGCCTGCATCGCACAGCAGGCCACGCGCCCATCGTACCTGCAGCTTCTTGCCGTAGTACTGCTCCACCACGCTGCGGAACTTCTCCACACCCCACTCCGAAATCAGGTACTTCAGGCGGGCCTGCAGTACCAGCACAGCAGGTATTTTGCGCCTCATCGATGCCATGCCAATCTTGCAGCAGCAGCCGGCACCTCGCAAGCCGCAGCAACAGCCCACACGGGCCGGATGCTGCCCCGCCCACCAGCATCAGCAACTTCGTACCGCCATCCTCCACCCTGCCGCCTTTCCCTGCGGCCCTCAATTGCGCACCTGCTTGCGGTCGTCGCGGCGGCCGTAGTCGCGCTGCACCGCCACTATTGCCTTGACCACATGGAACACATCGTCGACGGGCACAAAGCCCAGCGGGTCGGCTAGGCGCGGGAAGGTGGTGGCCTTGCCGTGGGAACGGCCTGCGTGGGGGGCGTGGGGCGCGTGGAGCGGAGGGAGCAGAGTCAAGGGCTTGGTGTTGTTTGCAGAGGGAGGGCGCGAATGCGCTGCCTGTGCTGGGGGCAGGCCCAGGCGCGGGCTCGCTCACCCATGCCGCCGCCTGCCACCACGTTGAACCCCTCCAGCTCCCCCTTGTCGTTGGTGATCACCACCAGCCCCAGGTCGTTGGTAAACAGGTCCACGCTGTTGTCGCCAGGCACTGCAGGGTTGTGGTGGTTGTGGTGGTGGTGGGGAGGAGCAGGAAGGGGAGGACGGGGGGTGAGGCTATGATGGATAGGACGCGGAGCAAGTAGCATGGACGAGCGATGCAGCGTGTGTGTGCGGCATGCATGTCGCGCCGTAACGGCAGCTTGCGTGATGAGGAAGGGTGCAGGCGGGCCTCAGGGGTGTTGTGTGTCCACAGCGCGCAGGCCGCACGAGGCGGAGCCCGGGCTGGCGGAAAGATAACGCAGTATAATACCAGAGCATCAGGGGCCGGGCAGCGGTGGGTGGGGCGGGCAGCGGCAGCGACGGCAGCAGTGGGAGCAGTGGCAGCAGTAGCACTGCGTCCATGCCAGGTGCAGGGTCACATTTCACGTCCATGCATCCTGCCGAGGCACCACGGCGGCGGGTGCGGCATAACCATGAATGCCACCGGTTCGCTGCCCGCGGGGGCACAGCTGGGAGCGCGCACCCGTGACGGCGACCTTGAACTTGCGGGGCAGGAAGAGCTGGCCGTAGATGGGCTCCGGGTTGCCGTCAAAGTTGGTGCCAAACCCGTTGAAGGCGCGGTCTGCGGTCACCTTGGGGTTCTGCTCGCAGGCAGCGGGAGAGGGGGGGTGGAGATAATTTGAAGCTGCGATTTGCTGCTGCTGCTGCTGCCGATGGATGCCGCGGCACACAACTCAGGGCGAGCAACTGCTCATTGTCGCCGCCGGAAAACAGCAGGAAGCCGCGAGATAAGTCGGCCACCGCTGCCACCCAGCAGCAGCGCACCTCCATGGTGTGTGCGAAGAACTTCTCCCCATCCAGCCAGACATCGTAGTAGGCGCCCGACTGCGGCGCCAGCAGGTCTGCCACGTCATTGGCGTACTGCTCGGCGTACCTGCAGTACATGGGGCAGTACGGACGCAGGGCACGCGTTCGAGAACATGCGGGCCAGGCAGGCGAGCACACTCCCAGGTTTGTGAGGCAAAGGCCTTCTATCAGTCTCCCTGGCGCCCGACGCGGCTGCAGTCACGGGCCATAACCCTCCCCGCATACATGTATCCCACGCTGCGCAGCTCAGCTCACTGGTACTCTGGGCGGCTCTTGTAGGGTGCGGGCGGCGCCATGACGTTGCGGTTGACGTCGCCACAGGCGCCCAGCGTGCTGCCCATGTTCTTGATGACCTGGCGCACAGCAGGGGCACAGCAGGATCACAGCTCAGCGTGAAGAAAGCAGGTGCACTGACGTGTTTGCTGGGCAGCTGTCCATCTGCTCCACCAACCCAGTGCTGCTGCTTGCTGCTTGCTTTGCCGCCTGCTGTGCTAAACACGCACCGTGCTAAACACAGTCTTCAGGTTCTGCTTGAGCACGCCGTGCAGCTGGAAGGTCTGGCGGGTGGTGAGGCGCAGCGAGCCGTTGCCGTACTGCGGGGCGGGACGAGCACGGGCCGGGGAAGACGAATCAGCAAGACGGAGGACGAGACAGGCAGTCGCGCTGCTTGCCAGGCTGCGCAGCATAGGCAGGCCCCCGCCGTCCCTGGTGCTGCCTTGCCGCACCCCCGGCTGCCTGCCAGCACCCCAGGCTGGCTCTGGGCTGCCGGCCCAACCCACCAGGTCTGCCAGCTCGTCCATGACCAGGTAGAGCTGGTTGGTGACCAGGCCCGAGGGCTGGCGCGTGCGCATCATGAACTGGTAAGACTTGCCCGCCCCAAACGTGCGCTGCTCGCGGTTGTCCTGCATGTAGCTGCCGTGGAACTTCATCAGCTGCACCGCGTCCTCCGCGATGCTGGGCGCATCGGTGACCAGCTCCTGCTCCGGGGCGGCGGGGGCGGGGGGCAGGACAGGGTGATGTGGAACTCCACGTCGGGCAATAGAGTGGGCGAGGCAGGGGGCACAAAGCGTGGCGCAGCTGGCGGAAGGTGGCGAGGCCAGGCCCAGCCTCGGCTGCACGGTGACTCTGCCTGCCGGTGTTACCGCATGCCGCCAGGTCGCGCAAACTGGCGGCAGTCGCTGTCGCCGCCGCGGGCTGCTGCCGCCGCCTCCCACGTGCCGCTGACATCATCCGCCCCCGCCCCTGCGCACCTGCATCAGCGGGTGCCTCAGGAAGTCGCTCTTCTCCTTGATGATCTCCACCTTGGAGCGCTTGGCCTTGTTAGAGGCCGGGGGACGGCTGGGGGTTGCCACGCAGGTGACCGTGAGGCCCCCGCGCGTGGAGCTAGAGGGCTGGCATGGCTGGCGGGCCGCCAGGCCGCTGGTGCAGCCCAGGAAGCTGCTGGCGGCCTGCATGCTGAAGGAGTGTCGGGGGGTGTAGGGCGGCCGGCTGCTCAGCCCTTGTATTCCGCAAGCACCACCGGCAGCTTGCGAGCCGAGGGAGGGATCGGGTTTCCCACGCCGCTTTGGGCTTGTGACAGCAAAGTGGCGCAATTGGAAACTCGCGAGCAATGCATGCGACGCCCTGTGCCTCTTGGCGGCCGTCGCAGGTGATCGTCAGTGCTCTGATCTGAGTCACGGACAGCGCCACACTGTGCGGTGGGCGTGGACCGCCGGCAGTCAAGGCACTGCGCAGTTAGCGTTTCGGCCCCCTATGCTCCGCCGCTGGGGCGCCGTGCTGGGGTGCCTCGGCAGCATTGACGCGGTGCGCCGGGCTGGCCGCACAGCATCAGCCCATGCATTGGTTGCGCCGCCCAATGCAGTCTTGACTGGCGGGCACCCGGAAGCGCAAACCTGCCTCAACAGCCCTCCCCCCTTTTCGGCGCTTGCAGGATGCTGGGGATGAGGCAAACGATCACTGGCAGCCTGGTCGCCTCCGCAACCTCCGCGGGCCCACACTGCCGCCGCCGCCGCCCTCGCCCAGCAAGCTGCCCTTGGCTGCGGGGAGTTTAAGGGCCTTCCAGCCGCCGCGCAGCATGGACGAGGCCCTCGCGGCCCTGGAGGCCGAGCAGCCCCTGCCCCCGCCTTCACCAGCACGCGGCGGCGGCCTGGGCGGCACCGCCCCCGCCGACGTGTGCCGGGCGTTTGCGGCGGGGCAGCACTGGCGCATGGTGACGCCCGCGCAGCGCCGCCGCGAGCGGGAGCGCGTGGCTCGCGAGCAGCAGGAGCATTTGGAGACGATAGGTCAGATCACACGTGCCCTGAGGGTCAAGGGCGGCCCCGCGGTGATGGGCCCTGCTGATGGCCTGGCGCTCCCGCTCGGCCTGGCGGGCTGGAGCCCGCAGCAAGACGCGGCCACGACTGCTCCAGGTGTGCCATCGCCGCGCTTCCCCGGTTCTGGCTGATCTGGACCCCCTGTTCTCAGCCGGCGCATCTGCCCCTCCTTAAGACCTGCCTCTGCCCTGCTCCTGCTCTTGCAGGGGCAGCGCACACGTGGCGCCCAGCGCCGCCAGCGCAGGAGGCCTTCAAGCTGGGCCCTGTGTTCCAGACCCGGGCAGGCAGCGGGGCGGCAGCCACCCAGCTGGTGCCGCTGCACGGCATGCAGCTTGCAGCGCGCGCTCAGGCAGCCGCGGAGGCCGCCACCGCTGCTGCCGCTGCAGCCATCGGGACACGGGTGTCTCCCGCAGCAGCAGCCGCTGCTGCGCCTGCTGTCGGAACCTGCCCTGCTGCTGCCCCTGCCAGGCCAGCATCTTCCCCTTCCTCCGTAGTGCACAGCGCAAGCAGCCAGCTGGTGCAGCTGGGCTCTGGTGGCAGCATGGGCAGCGCGGCGGGCAGCCCCTGCTGCGGGAGCAGCCTATGGGCGGACAAGCCAGAGAGCAGATCACCAGCCACTGGTGCAGCTGCAAGCCCTGCTGTGCAGGGCGTGAATGGATCAGTGCTGATCGAGCTGGCAGTCTTGGGAGCAGCTGAGGCATCGGGTGACGCTGGCGGTGGCTGGCAGGATGGGCTCCGGGAGTGCCGCGCCTCTTCTACGTCTGCAAAACTGCCGGCGCAGCCCTCGGAGAGCTTTGTGGCCTTCGTTCGTGGTGTGCAGCAGATGGAGGAGGGCCGGGTCGGCGGCAGCGATGCGAGCAGCACGGCGGCCTCGCGCTTGCGCCCGGAGCCGGCTCAAGCCCAGGCAGCAGGCGTCGATTCCAGCCAACTGGAGGGGGCAGAGCAGTCATCGCTGCACGCCTTTGGCTCGCAGCAGGCCCTGCTGCCTCCTCAGTCCGATGATGGGTTCAGCATCCCTGCAGCACACGGCATCTCTTGTGTCGAGAGCGGCAGCAGCAGCAGCGGCCGCCGGCGCCTGCCACAGGCGCCAGCGCTGCTGGGCCACTGGCGGCAGGTACTGCACAGCCTGCGCCTCACCCGTGGCGGCGCAGCAGGCAGGCAGCAGGAGCAGGGAGGTGCGCGGTGGGCGGGGCGCCAGCGCCAAGGTGGGGGCCTGGCTCAGACCGCTGAGGATGTGAGGCCCAAGCAGGGGGCATACCGCGGGGCGCATGCGCCAGCGGCTTCCCGCACCAGCGGCGATGAGAACCAGCCGATCCTGCGCTAGTGCATGAACAAGTGCAAGTAGCATGTTTCAACAGGTTGAGCCGCAACAACTGTGGCCAGCCATCAATGTATTCCAATTTGCAACCTCTGCTTGAATTTTGCCTGTGCCATTTTCAATCATGTATGGAACCTGCTTTCAACCATGTGCAGCCTATTCTCCCTCATATGTTATCCCTGCCTGTACCTAAATTCCATATCCATCACATTACAAACAACAATTGCAAGTGCAAGCTCGATTTTGGCAGAAAAGAGGCGGTGAAAAGCAAGGGCGGTTGTATTGGCAAGCCTGCGGCTGCTGCCCTGCCGCTGCGGTGCCAGTCGCATTGGACACGCGGCAGCAGGTGCCGACATGCCGGCAGGCGTCAGCTGGGGGTCACAGGCGGTGGTACAGCTGAGGAGACAGGGGCAAAGGAAAGAGTTTTGACAGGAGGGAGTAGCAGGCGCCTCATGGTATCATGACGTGGCGCCAGCTGGCATTGGGCAGGTACAGGAGAACAACAGCCAGCGTGTGTGCCAAGTGGCCAGGCAAAAATGGGTGGCAGGCAGGCCACGGGCGGCTGGGCGCGGCCGTGCGCCCGCTCACTTCCTGTCCACCCCGGCCGGCGCCGCCGGCGCTGCCGCCGCAGCTGCCGGTGGCTTCCAGTTGCTGTTGTCGTAATACACCCACCCATCGTCTGCGGCCGTCCCCTGCTCGCCGCCCAAGCCCGCCTGCTCGTCGTCATCAAATCCATAGGGGCCGCAGGGCCAGAAGTCGCTGTTGGCAAACAGCTGCTGCCGCAGCAGCTGGAACTGGTCTGTGGAGCGAGCAGGGGCAGGGGCAAGGAGGGCGGAAGAAGCGAGATGGGAAGCAGGCGTGCGACAGGGCATGCAGATAGCTCAGTCGGCAGGCAAAGGCCAGGCGTGGGCAACCGGCAGCTCACCATCGTTTCTGCAGGCAGGCAGCGCCTCCAGAGCCTTGGCGTTGGCCTCGTCCTGCACAGCCAGACAGGGAGGCAGGCGGCGACGGGAAGGCGCAGTGCCGGTCGTGTGGAGGCAGGGAAGCGGCACTGCTCGCTAAGGACGGAGCATGCCGTGGGGCTTGGACTGACCCCCCGCCGTGCCAGGAGCAGCGAGGGGTCAGTCCAAGTTGGACCCACCTGCACAAAGGAGCCGTCGCCCTGGCCCTCATGCTCCTCCTCCACCCGCGCCATCACTGCATCCAGCGCATACTCCGGCATGCCCTGTTTCTCCAGGTAGAACTTGGAGGCGCTGCACACAGCAGGGGCGGCACGAGCGAGCAGGGCGGCAGGCAGCAGGGTGCAGATGAAGCAGGTAGGAGGAGAGCAGGCAAGGCAGGGCAGAGGTGAAGTGCCTGTTGGTGGGGCAGCGCTGCCCAACGGGCATCCCACAGCGCTGCTCCCCAAAGGCGACGAGCCGACCCACGCCCCACCTCTTGTCAAGGCCGGGCACGATGCTGATCATCTGGGCCAGCAGGCGCGGCTTGGGCAGCTGGCGCTGCTTGGCCAGGTAGGCGGCGGCGGCCATGCAGTTGGCGAAGCCGACACAGAACGCGCGCGCCACCTCCACCCGCAGCTCCGGCGGGACGTAGTCGAACAGATAGATCTCGGGGTCGTGCACCGGCTTGTCGTCTGCAAAAGCAAGCAGCAGACGCCAGGAAACACGCGAATGAGGTCTTATTCGCGGGGAGGATGATGTGTAGGATGACAGTCGCCAAGTCGCCGCCCTCCGAGAGGCGGGAGGGGCGAGCAGGCGAGGCTGCCTTGAATGCTGGGCCCCACGGCAGGCCGTTGCGTGCGCGGCAAGACCTCAGCAGCGGCAACGCCAGCAGGAGGCGCACCTTTAAAGTTCATTGAGTCGAGCACCATCTCCGATGAGCTGGCTGCAGTGCGCTCCAAGCGCAGCATCATGCGCGGGGACAATATCCCCGCGATGCACTGGCCACAAGAACAGCCCATGGCTTGGGAGCTGCGGGTTCCGAGTGTGCGAAGGCGGGCCTGCGGGCGGGGCGGCGTCGGCCTGCGGGGGTGGCAAAGCAGATGGCGGGAGCAATGAGAAGGACCTGACCTGAGTTTGCTGAGCCTACACAACACAGGCTTGCAGTTGCCGCCTGAAGGCCCGAGCTCATCGATCAGGTCTGCTGCAGTCCACAACTCGCCTGGTCTCACTCGTCTAGCGATTCGGCTTCGCTTGGGCTGTTGCTCACTGCAGCAGTTTTCGGTGCCTTGGCTGCTTGGCACTCCAGGGGCATGTGTACAGAAGACGTACAGCACGCCTCCCCCAGAAGAGACGCATTGGCGGCCCTGGCGATTGATTTGTAACCCAAGTTGCCGTCCGGGTTGCTTTAGTGCAAAGTCCCCCACCGGGCATGCACTTTGGCATCGTCTGCCGAGCAACCCTTCCAGCTGCCAGCTCCCTGACCCCAGGATTCGCAACAGCAGGAACTCCCAGGAGCTGCAGCAGACGGGCCACCAGCGCCATGGCCGCGGCGCAGCAGGCGGCGGCGACAGCGGCACCGCCCCCGCCACAGCAGGCGGCTGCCCTGCAGGCACAAGCAGCTTTGCCGGCAGCGGAGCAGCCGATGCCCGGCAAGTGCCACTTCTTCCTGGAGAAAAAGCGACGCCACTGCAAGTTCGATGCCGTTCCGGGGAAAGCATACTGCGGCAACCACTTGTATGAGGGAGAGGGGGTCGGGCCCAAGCGTGTGCCCTGCCCCTGGGACCCCAAAGGCGGCCACACGGTGCTGGAAAGCGAGCTGGAGAGGCACAAGAACAAGTGCCCGGGTTACCTGCAGAGGTTGGCGCAGCAGGAGCAGCCCTGCTTCGCAGAGGACATCAATGCCGGGCCGGGCCTCGAGGTGGAATGGCCGGCAGGCCTGCAGCCGCTGCCAGCTCCGGCGCAGCTTACGCAGCACACCAGCGGCGCCGATGCAGCTGCGGATGCGGGGGCCACTGACGGCAGCAGTATCAGGAAGCGGCAGCGGCGGCAGCGCCCCGCGCAGGGCGCTTCCCTCGTGCAGGCCGCATATGCGGCGGCCATGGGCGAGCAGCGCTTCATGCAGCTGCTGCAGCGCGTCGAGACGGCCTGCGAGCAGGTGAGGCGTGCCCGGCAGCCAGCCCGCGGCGACCATCATGGGGCTGCATGCCTGCCTGCCTGCCTGCCTGCAGGCATATTGACCCAGCCGGGCTTGAGCTGCCCGCCCTCTTTCGTCCCCGCCCGGCCTCACCCCTCCACGCCGGCCCCCCCTGCGCCGCCGCAAGCAGGTGTGCGAGGCCGAGCCGCTGTCGCTGGCTCTGCCGCCCGAGGCGGAGCCCTTTCTGGCCCCAGAGTCGGCGACCTGCAACCGCCCCTTCTCCCTCAAGCACGCGCAGCAGCAGGCGTCCATCGTGGGCAACATGAAGCAGCGGGGGCTGCTGGCTGGGGCCGCTGGGGTTGCCTATGTCGAGTACGGCGCCGGCAAGGGGTACTTGAGGTGAGCGGCGGGAGAAGGCCAGGGGGCCCAGGCGCCGGCTGGCTGGCCTGGGACCGACTCACGGCACAGCCGGCTGCACGGCCACCCGAGCTTCGCGCCCAGGCTCGCCCAGGCTGAGGCCTGGTGCCCAGCGCGCCGGCACCCCTGCCGCCTGTCCCTCTGCCGCAGCCACATGCTGAGCCTGTGCTGCCCGGAGGCACGCAAGGTGGTGATGATGGATGTGCGGGGGTTCAAGGAGAAGGCAGACAGGTTGGTTTGGGAATGGGGGTTCGTGCGACCTCTGCCACCTGTTGCCCGCTGCCTGCTGCCTGCTCCAGGGCCACGGCGGTCGACGCGCCTTGAGCTGCGGTGCGGGGTTGCACCTGTGTGTGACATGTGTCGTGCGCTTGTGCGTGTGCTCCAGGAGCATGCGGCACCTGGACATGCAGCGGCTGCGGTGCGACATCAAGGACTTTGATGTCGGCAAGGTGAGGGTGAGGACTGCCTTTGTTTTAAATGTTTTCATAGCTGGACGGCCGCCAGCTGCCAATTGCTGGAGGCTCGAACCACTCTCCTTCCCAGCCATGACCTTGCCGTCCTGCCTCCCTGCGCCCTCCTCCCGCAGGTTCCCGGCCTGGACAGCAACGGGCCGTGGGTGGCGCTGGGCAAGCACCTGTGCGGCGCAGCCACGGACTTCACGCTGCGCAGCTGCGCGCGGGAGCGGCAGAGGCAGGCAGGGCGGGAGGGGCAGCCGCAGGGCGGGGTGCGGGGCCTGGCGGTGGCCACCTGCTGCCACCACCGCTGCAGCTGGCGGCACTTTGTGGCGCAGGATGTGATGCTGCAGCTGGGGTTCAGCCCTCAGGAGTTTGAGGTCATTGTTTGGATGACAGGTGGGTGTGCGCTGGGGCCGGAATGCGGTCTGGGGGTGGTGCAAGGGCTGCTGTGGGCCGCCAGCAACCCCAGCAACCAATCATGTGAGCCTGCCGCTCCTGGTGCAGGCTGGGCGCTGTGTGGCCACGAGGCTCCCGCCGGTTTTGGCGGCAGCGACTGCGAGGAGGCAGATGAGGGGACGGCAGAGCAGCAGCACCACTCCGACGGGGAGCAGCAGCCCGGCAGCAGCGCGGCGACACAGTCGCAGGCAAGGCACAAACGGGGCCGGGACGGGGCAAGCGCGCCGCCCTCCCCTACTGCGCTGGGTGCAGCAGCAGCAGCAGCCGAGGGCACGCCAGCAGCAGGAGCGGCGGCAGAAGCGGCGGCAGCAGCATGCGCGGCGGCCGCGGGCGATGACTGGCGGCCGCAGCGTGCACTGACCCGCGAGCAGAAGATTGCGGTGGGGCGGCGCTGCAAGCGGCTCATCGACGCGGCACGCCTGCGCTGGCTGCGCCGCCAGGGCTTTGAGGCCAGCCTGGTCAAGTACGTGCCATCAGAGGTGAGCGGCGAGAACCGGCTGCTGCTGGCCACCGCCGCGGCGGCAGCACAGTGACACCTGGCCAGGCCCCTCTCGACTGCCTCCTCCTTGAGCGCCTGCACCTGCCAACGGTGAGGGACAGCCAGTGCATTACAGTTCATCTGGCTATAATTCAATCAGACTGCGATGCCGAGGCATCAATTATTGGAAAGCATGGATGTCCTCGGCGGACAATGGTGCCAGGCATGGCGGCAGGCAGTATACAGGCCAGGCAAGGGCGATACAAAGGGAAGGCAGACGCTCATCAGAGGGAAAGGCTCGCAAGGGGGGGAGGAGCAGCTGTAGCGTGTTGTAGACAGCTCAAACGGGGACAGCTCAAACGGGGACAGCTCAAAGGGGGTAAGACAGAAAAAAAGGGAGGGGGCGCGTCAAAACGGCGTGGTGGCAAACAGGTCGAACAGGTGTCAGCAGCAGTGGGGATCGAGCTCGTAACAGGCAGGAGGGCAAGTGAAACAGTGAAGGAAGGCAAAGGGGGCACGGTCGTATCAGCGGGGGTGGGTGGGTATCATCGAAGCATCGAAACGGCAGCAGGCTGGTTAGTAGTAGGCATGGTGGCAGGGCATGCGTTAACAGGCGTGTTGGGACTGTTGTACAGGGGTGCTGGGTGGGGCGCAGCAGCCGGCGGGCTGGCCCGGGGGGTGAGCAGGCAGATGAGTGGGGCGCGGCATTATGGCGGGAGAGCGTGGGCTCTCTGGCCGCACCGGTACCCTGGTGGGGCTTGGCGGGAGTGCAGAGAATGGAAAGGCGGCTTGGTTATGTAAAGAAGACGAAAGAAACGTTTTCCTGCAGTGCGGTGGGCTACTGCAGGGCGCTCAAAACTGGTGTGCGTGGGGGTGGAGGGGTGGGGTGCCTGGGTGGAAGATGGGTGGGGCGGGGAGGGAGCGGCGGAGGGTGGGGCGGGGCGGGGGGTGGCGGGCGGTAAAAAGAATGTCGAAAGGGGGGCTGGGAAGGTGGCTCGGGCCTCGAGCAACAGCGACGAAAGCGCGGTAGACAAGCGCAGTCGGTGGTTCGTTCAAGGAGGATCAATCAGACGGGTGTGCGCCACCGCGGTGGCTGGCGAGCTGTGCGGCTCGGCCACGGCAGGCGGCGGCGGGACGAAAGACGATGTGATGTGCATGCGGGTGTGGTGCATGTGCGAGGTCAGGGACGCAAGGGAAGTCATCGCGTGTAGGGCGCACCCTGCGCCGCCGAGGCGGCCCAGGGTGGCGCGTCAGATCACTGGAAAGGACAGGAAGACAGTTGGCAGCACAGCTGGGTCAGGCCGAGAGCAGTGCCGGGGTCAGGTGGGCGTGGTTGGGTGAGGACGGGTGAAGCGGCCGGGGGCGGTCAGAGGTGGCAGCGCTCCAGCTCCGCCTGCATGGGAGGGAGGGTGGGGCGCAGCGGCGATCAGGCCCAGGGCAAAAAGTGAAGCCGGGACACTCCCGCAGACAGAAGGGCCATGTGCCAGCCCTCCAACAACAAGCAGGCCACCCGTGAGCCCCGGCCTGCTGTGGTTCCCTCATGCCCCACAGCACCACCCTGCTGCTTCGCCCCGCAAGCACCACAGCAGGCTGGGTAAATCGCAGCGGCGGGTGCAAGGTGCGCGTGCAGCGGCGCTGAGCGCGATTCCCGCCGCTCACCGTGGCTGCCAGCTGGGTGTTGTAGGCCGCAAAAAACTCCTTGTTCTCGGCCTCCAAGCGGTCCCACACTGCACCAGGGCGCGATCACGGGGCGTGAGAGGCGGGCGATGGTGGCTGATGGGGCCAGCGGGCGCCGGATAAGGCCGTCGGGACGCAACGGCGGGAAACGCGCGGCCGGCGGGGAGCCCTGGCAGCGCGCTCACCCAGCAGCGAGAACTTGGGGGCCACGCCCAGGCGGGCCAGCAGCTGCACAGCCTCCAGCTTGTTCAGGCCGCGCTGGATGCAGCGCTCGAGTGCAGCGTGGACCTGCGAGGGTAACCCGGGCGAGGGCGGATGTCAGGCGCGCCCGCCGCTCCAAACCCCGCCAGTAGCGATGCTGGGCCGGTGCAGGGCGCCTGCGGGCCGGCAGCCCGCGCTGCGGGCAAGTTGAACCCAGGCGGCGGGAGGCCAAGCGCTGGTGCCCACCTGCTGCACGTCCTCCGCCGTCACCGTTTTCTCATCGTCCTTGGGACTGGCTCTGACCACCACAGGGCAGCACATCGAGGCTGGGCTGATCGGGGGTGGGAGAGTGTTGTGGAGGTGCTAGCAGGGGCTGCAGGACGTGCGGGAGGGGAAGGCCCGCGAGGTGCAGGGTGTGCGAAGGCAGAGAGGGACAGTATTCTGGCGCGGATGGGCGGACAGAGCCTAGATCACCATCCGGCCTTTCCACCGACATCCTCCCGTCACGATTTGTCGGTGTTGGTTGAATCCACGCCTGGTCGCCGCTCCCGCACGTGTTCTTGGGCCTGATAACCAACATAGAGCTGGGTGTGAGGCGACAGGGGTCTCGGGGGCCCTGTGCTACCCGAAACCGGTGCACGTCCCACCGACACTCGCTAGACCACGGAGGGTGACAGACTCTGGACACTCAAAACCTGGTGTTTGCAAGTCCTGGGCGCCGCCCAGGCCCTCAGAGCTGCCCCAGCACGGGCGCTTGGCGAGGAGTCACATGCGTCGGGACGGGACGATGTCGCAGTTGTGCCTGCCAGCGCCGGGCACACTGGCCCCAGGCTGCCTCCTCAGATCCAGTCCCCCTCCTGCAGCTTGAGCGGCAGGTATTGCTGGCTCAGATACTGGAAGCCAAAGCTGCTGAGCGCCTGAATCTCCGCCTTGACCTGCAAAAGGGGGGCGGCGGCGGCGGCGGTGGTGAAGGGGCACTTCCATGGAGCAGAAAGCCGGGATGCTCGCCGCGTCTGCCGGTGGGCGCCAGCCTGCGCTTCCAGCACGCGCTGCAGTCCGTCGCCGCCCCACGGCCCGCCTGCCCTCCCTCCTCTCCCGCACGCACTCGCGCCTGCCCACGCCGCACTCCCCAGCCAAGCGCTCCTTGAGAACCTGCGCCAGCGCTGCCCACCCCTGCCCCAGCCCCACCTTGGTGGTGACCATGATCTCCAGCTCCTTGACCCACTCCGGGTTGGCCTTCACAAAGTCCTCCTCCAGCTGCAGCCCCAGCGCGCCAGCGCGCCAGCGCACATGCCGCGTCACAGCCCGCGGCGGCCCGGCATGGGACCCCAGGAAGGCTCGGGGAGAGCATGCCTCGCTCACAGCCACGCCCCCCTCCCTCCCCCACATCCCGCGCCAGACTCGCGCGCACAAACATGCGCTTCTACGCCAGGCAAAAGCCAGCTGCTCACCAGCTTCTTCCCCGTCTTGATGTCCTCATCCGTCATGGGCAGGCGGCACTGCTGCGGGATGGAGAAGCGGTCCAGGTCGGAGGGGCGCACGCCCAGCCACTTGATGTCTGGGGTGGTGAGGTTGGAGGAGTCGTAGGACATGTTCATGGAGCCTGCGGGCGGCAGGGAAGAAAGCGGGGAGGGAGGGAAGCAAGAAAGCTCGGCGAGAAAGCTCGGCTCCGGGCAGCGGCGGATATGGTAGGGCCAGGCGCCCGCAGCGCACGCGCCACCGGTCGCGTGCTGCAGCGACCGCCTCGTCGCCCCGCCAGGAAGGGCGACGTGTTGACCACAACACCAACCTCACCCTTCATGTAAACCGACAGGATCTTCAGCCCGTATGGGTCGCTGTCCACCAGCGCCAGCACCGGGATGCGCAGCACCTGCTTCAGCTTGCGCAGGAACAGCCTGCGGGCGGGCGCAGGCAGTCGCAGGCAGCGTGACTGGGCGGAGCCAGCGGGCCACGAGTCGGCAGCCCCGGCCTGGCCCGGCCAGGCCCACCGCAAACATCTGCCCCACCACGCGGCGAGCTGCTCCCTCAGCCTGTCCCCCGGCACCCGCCCCACCCGCTCAGCCGCCCTGCAGGCGCCCCTCACCTCGTGGCTACGTCTGGCTGGCCCTTTGCTGTGATGATGATGCAGGGGTATGTGTTGTAGAAGCGGTCCTCCGCCAGGCGCATGAACGCCGCATCCTTCTCCACCAGCAGGATGAACATCGCGTCGCTGGTGATGGCGTCCACCTGGGGAGGAGAGGAGGAAAGAAGGAGGGCGGGAGGGAGGGAGGGGGGAGGGAGAATAGATCGGAAAAGAGGGGAGAGGGCGGCCTGGAGGAGGCCAGGGCGGGCGCGAGCATGTGCATGCGTCGGCTGGCTTACTGACGAGACGATCAGGGCTGGGGGAAGGATCGGCCAGGGGAGCGCAGTAAGGGGGCAGATGATGGGGAGGCATGATGGTGGCGGCGCACCTTGTCTATGTTTGGCGGGATGGCCTTGCCGCCCACGCCCATGCGGCGGCAGTCTATGGGGTCCCCATCCTCCCGGAACGTCAGCCGCCCCACCACCACACCCTTCTCCGACGCCACCACTGCGGAACGCGCGTGCAGGGGGAGGGCCAGGGTGGGAGATCGTCAGGCGTGGGCGGCTCGGCAGCATGTATACACTATGCAGGCATGCGGCAGGCGTGCCGGCAGCCCCGGACCCAGCATGCATGCCGCCCGTGCCGCCGCCCGGCCCGCCCACCATGTAGGCTGGAGCGCGTGCAGCCCAGCATGCACGCCAAGTCATCCAGGATGGCATCTGAGTTGGACTGGTCCTCAAACAGCTTCACATCTGGAGGGAGGGAGGCAGGGAAGGAGCAGCAGCAGTAGGGCCTGCTGGTAGAAGGCGGCGCCATGGCGGCGGCGGTGGTGGCGCTGCGTGCGGCTGTGGCGGCCCAGCCAGCCGCCTGCCTCGCTGCCACCAGCTGCCACCCTTGCTGCCTCGTCCTTGCGCTAGCTGGCGCTGGGCCGGCTCCGCCTTGCCATGCGCACCACTAACCCACCAGCTGGCCCCAGCCCACCTGTGTAGAAGAGGTCACGCTTGGTGACGTGTATCCGCTTGGTGCACAGCTCGTGCACCAGCTGCAGGATGCGGGTGGTGATGACCGCCTGCAGGCACGGCGGCGCGTAAAAAACACCGCTTTGGCAGGGCGCAGGCTACGCTGTACAGAACAGACCCAGGGCATCAGCAGCGTGCGAGCAGCGGCAGCGGCTGGGTGGGCCGCAGCGGGACCCCTGGCCCGCCCCACAGCCAGAATCTGCTCGGCAGCAGCTGATGCGCCACCCGATGACATGCCACACCCCCGTGGAGCCCCTGCCCCCACCTTGCGGCAGGTGGATGTGTTAGCAAAGGCACGGTGTGACTGCGAGTCCTTCAGCACTATTCGGTCCAGCTCTGCGGGGGGAGGACGAGGTGTGGGACAGGGGCGCAGAACGGGCAGAGGAATGGAGGGCTGGCTGGGCACGAGGGGACGGGCTCTGCCTGCCTGCGTGCTCGCCGCCAACCCAAGTGCTGGTGACTGGGCTGCCGCCAGCCAGCAGGTGCCACAAGCAACGGTGCCACCCCTTCCCCCCAACGGGAATGCATTCCTCCATTCACAGGCCTGCACGCCAACCCCACCCTCCCTCGAAACCCACCTGGCACATACAGCTGGTTGGCCTTGGAGCGGCTGGGCAGCGTGTAGGTGAAGCCCTCTCCCCGCAGCACAGAGGCCGCCACAAACAGGATGGCCGTCTCTATCTCATCCAGCACAGCGCCCGCATCCTTGTCGACCACCTCGCGGCATGCGTGCGGCAGGTTCAGCTCGGCGAGCGTCCTGCGGCAGGGCGCTCAGTGGGGGAGGGTCGGGGCTGCTCTTTGCAGTGAGCGCTGGCCATGCCATGCAGCAGGCGGCACCCTTTGCGAGCCAGCAAGGAGAGCAGTCCACGCAATGCCACAAGGGGTGAGCACGTCGCGAATTGCCAAGCAGGGGCGCCAGCAGCCGCCGCTGCCCCGCCGACGGCAACCCACTTCTGCACTTCCGGCTCCCCCTTGACGCGCTCCGCCAGCCATTTGACCTTGCCCAGGATCTCCTGCAGGGCGGGCAGCGTTGTTTGCCTCTCCAGCCCACACCCTCATGGGTGCCGCAACTGATCAGGGGCCGCCCAGACTCACATCGACGCTCTTCAACTTCTTCTTATTCAAAGCAGTCAGCTCCGTTCCAGCTTTTTTCTTGCCAGCCACCTTCCCGCTCATCGGCCTCAGCCTCTACGCCATTCCCTACTGCTGCTGTGCTAACAGCTTCAGGCAAACGGGGCAGAGATAGTGCATGAAAAGCTAGGAGATCACAACGCCCACTTGATTGCAGATGACCAGTGGACAGCGCGGGCGCAGCGTGGCGGGCCAGGGCGGGCAACGACAGATCTCTGCTGGCTGCTTGATCTCTTGCTGGCTGCTTGATCGCGTTGCATGATAAAACATGCCATCAAAATGATACAACAATCAGCAACAAAAAGTCGCGGTTATGATACACAGCAGATGCACACATCTGTAGAACACAGCGGTGAAAAACTGTTTGTGAATACTGATTCGGACAATTGAGGAATGATACTCTAAATTCAGTGCTGCGCTGCATGTTGGGTCTTCAATGCTGGCTGTACCTTGTGCTTCGCCTTTGGGCCTTGCCCTTGCCCATGGTCTTGGTCTTCGTTGGCAGCTCGGCAGCGGCGAACCCCAGTCCTCGTCGGCCCTGCTGGTCTGCCGGCCGAACAGGCTCAGTGATGCCCTGCTCCTGCGCGCCGCAACCAGCCCCTTCGCGCCACCCCGCCAGCTTGAGCAGGCGGAAGCCCACGGTGCTGGCAAGTATGCTAGTGCCCGCGGCGGCCGCACTCGCCTGCTGCTGGGGCTCCTCGTGAGCCCTACCCGTCCCACCAGCCGCCATCTGCCCATGGAATACCTCTGCCAGCGCATCCAGCTGGGCCAGCAGCTCCCTCATTTCCTCCCGCACTGCCTCATCCAGCTGCGCTGGGTCGGTGGCTGCCAGTGCCTCCTCTAGCTGCCGCATTTGCTCCACCAGGCCCAGATCCTGCCATGCCTGCTGCTCCCACTGCTCATCTGCATCCAAGTGCTGCTTCTGTGCCTCCTCCTTCTGCTGCTGCTCCCGCTGCCCATCCTCGGTTGCTCCTTGGGTTGGGAGGCGAACCTCAATACCATCTGCCCCTGGCTCCGTGGCTACTTGGGCAGGCACCCACTGCCGCTGCATCTGTGGTGCCGCCACGGATGCTTTTGCTGCTGCTGCTGCTGCTGCTGCATCCTGGTCTGGATGGGAGACCGAGGCTCCTCTCAGCCGCAGGCCCTGGCGGCGCACCTTGGCAGGGCAGCAGCACAGGTAATAAAGCTCCAGCGCTTGCTGGACAACCTGTAAAAAGGTAGCCACTGCCATCTGCCACTCCCACAGCTCCTCAGGCTGGCAGTGCGCCAGGTCATCAACTTTCTTCCAGCCCTTGATCCTGCCCTTGGTCGCCAGCAGCTCCCTCTTGATGGCCTTGCGACGCCACAGGCGCAAAGTCTGCAGCACCTGCCAGCTGCTCGCCAGCCTGACATGTAGGTGCGCGAGCTGGCACTGCCGCTGCCTGCAGCAGAGCGGGCGGCACGGCACAGCCACATGTGTGGGTCATTAGCAGGGTGCGGCGGCAAGCTGCCCGTGCCTCCCAATGCGCTGTACTGTGACAATGGCCATGGGCCAGCTGACAGCCAGAGAGACACCAGTGGGCTCGTCGCACTCACTCTAGTTTCCGTAGCTCCCGCTGGCACGCCTGATGCCACAGCTGCATGCGAGCTGTTGCAGCCGCTGTTGCTGCGCACTCTTCAGCGTCCTGAGGCTGCTGAGCGGAGTCGGCGGCATCCTGTGGCGGCGCTTGCTCCTGGGCTTGCTGCTGCCTGTCCCCAGGGATATCTGTTGCAGGGGCGCAGTGTTGACGCTGCTTTCGTAGCCTGTGCAGGCGAAGCTTCAGCTCTTGTCGCTCTATCTCGGCCTTTTGAGCCTCAATAGCCAGATTCGGGGCTGCACATCATTGCAATGAGCGCAGCAGAGCACACGTCAGCTCACATTCGGGCCAGGCTGGGCTGTGTAGGCTGGCCTGGCTTGCCAGGCAGGGCAACCAACCAGCTGGCGTGCCTGTGCCCCGCCACTGCCTGCTACCTAGGTTTCAGCCACTACCTGTCCCTCACCTGTCAGCAGGCCTGACGCCAATCTCGTGCGCCCGACAGCGCTGTTTGCGACGGCAACAGTATGCTGCTGCTGCAGTGACAGGCACCGTCGCCCCGCATCCTCGAGCTGGGCCTGCAGCATAGTGGTGTTGGCAGGCAGAAAATTTGGCAGGGGGCTGCCACAATGGCATGGTAACCTGTTTGGTGTAGGACAGGATTTCCATTTGCATTAGAACAGGGGCAGCGCCACATACCTCCAGCTCTGTTGCAACATCCGCCGCCGCACCCCGCCCGGCGCTGCATGCCGTCGGCTGGCCGGCTGGGGCTGCCTGGGCTCCTTCACGGGCAATCTCGTAGCGCAGAGCACCCTGCTGGTCCCCCACTGTCTGCAGTGTACACGCCAGGAGCTGCATAGAAATGCCTTGCAGGTTGATAGCCAGGTCGAACTTATTGCAGCGAATCATGGAATCTCCTCGGCTCGCTTGCAGGAGCCCTGCCGCCAGCCATTCCGCAGCAACTTCAATCGTCCACGCCTGGACCACTCCCTCCCCGCCCCGCTTGCGCTTCTTTGTCATCCCGAGACACTCCGCATGTGTGCAAACGTCGATCCAGATAGCCATCTTTGCTGCATGCTGGTGGGGCCCCAGCGGCAGCGGCGGGGCGGCGTGCAAAGCGGAGCGGCGCAACAGCCCCGGCAACAGACCACGTCTCAGGCTCCCAATCCTAGCAGTTTTTTTTAATCTCAGTTTTGAATGATGGAAGATTGTAAAGCTGTGCGTGCTTGATACCGGTGGGATGATGGGAGGGATGGGGTCGGGCATGAGTGCGTCGGTCCTCTGGTGCGAGGGAGGGGCAATAGAGGGGAGTATCAAGCCAGTCAAAATGGCAAGGGAAGAAGGTATGTCTGTACAGGAGAGGAGTTTGGGGGTGCCAGCTTTGATTTGCTGCCTTGGCTACTGAATGCGCACTCCCAGCGTGTGCGGCGGGAGGGGCTGGTGCGAGGTGATGTACTGCAAATCCGTGTCGTTCTCTGGGGTGGGCTGCAGGCTGGTGGTGCGCGGCACCGCCATGGGTGGCGCTCTGACATCGACTGCCGCCGCCGCTGCTGCCGCCGCCACGCGCTCGCCAAGGTGCCCTGCAGCAGGCAGGCGCAAGACGAGCATGAACATGGGCATTCACAACGTCAACCTTCATGTTGCACTTGAGCAGCGTCCGTTCTTTCATCCCACCGCAGCACCCTGCCCCAGCCCCATCTGCTCACCAAAGGCCAGCGCGCCCAGGCAGAAGCCCAGGGTTGCGGAGAGGATGAGTCCCAGGTTGAAGGTGACCACCACCAGCATCAGGCAGTAGTCCAGCAGCACGGCAGCCCCCGTCAAGGCAGACCGCACGACATTGCGCGCCAGCTGCAGGGGAGGGATGGAACACCAGCGCCAGGGGAGGCGGAGGTCAGGCAGGTCATGGAGGATCAGGCAGCCTGGGAGGGGGGCGCTGTTGAGGGCAGCATGGATGGACGTGGTGGGCAGGAACGCACGGCGCCTGGTGCCCAACGCGCATGCAGGAACGCGAGTGGCGCAGCAAAACCGCAGCTTGCCTCTGGCCGGGTGATGAACCGCTGGGGCTGCTGAGGGTGCTGCTGCTGCTGGTGCGTCATGCTGCTCTGCCGCATGCTCTGCCGCAGCATGGGCATGTTGCTGCTGCGCCGTGGGTCCTTTATGTCCAGGCTGGCGCGGGCTGGGCTGCTGCCATAGTCTGCAGCCCACGCAGAAGCAGCAAGAGTCGACACAGGGAACACAAAAGACAAAAGAACGTCGGGGGACGCGGCATGCACTGAATGAGGGACAGAGGCAGTGGCAGATCATGTGAAGCGCATGCTATCCCTCTGCCAGTGATCACCTAAGCTGCCAAAGCCGCCGCCACCGCCAACAGAGTCATCTGCCCCTGTCAGCTGCGTTGCCCAGCATGCCTCGAGGTGCAAGTTGAGCGCCTTGAGGGCCTGCAGATGGGGCGGCACCGCACAGAGTTATACCTCAGCTGCAAGCCCTTTGCCCGCCCCAGGCATGCCAGTTGACCATGGCGGCCAGCCCAGGTAAACTTGCCTGCACCACCACGGCAATGGCAATGATGGCCAGGCAGGAAGCCACGTAGGCTCCCCCAGAGGAGGGCACCCAAGACTTGAACAAAATCATGGCTTCAAGAGGAGGGAGGGATGGGGGCATGGTTGTCAGGTGAGAATCATCTTGGCAAATTAAAAACACCGAAGTCAAACAACCTGCTGCCTGCTGCTCCTCCCGCTACCACCTCCGCCTGGTGGCCCCGTAACCCACCAGACATGGATGCATGCAGGTACATCCTCGCCACTGCCTCCACCTCGCTGCTGCTGTTACCGCCGCCGCTGCTGGCGGTGGCAGGGACCTCGCTGCTGCCGCCGCTGCTGCTATTGCCAGCGATGCCGCTGGCGATGGTGCGGGTGCCGCGGCCGCACAGGCTGCTAAATGTGGTGCCCGCCTCGGCGCACATGACCTCAAAATTGCTGCAGCAGGAGAGCAGAGTACGCAGATGAGAGAGGTGAAAGCTCAGGATGGGATTTACTGCTCCCATGCAACCAGGGGACTCATCACAATACACCGCCAGAGACACATGCATACACACCTGCACTGTGAGATTTCAGGCGAGGCCAGGCACAGCCGGCTCAGTACTGCCAGCGGGTTGGTGCAGCTGCGCCACCCTGCGGCGCACTGCTGGCACCCCGCCACGCTGGCGCCATGCAAGCTGCACGCCTGTGCCACGGCTTCCATGGTCTGGCTCGTGCCCATCACGGTTCGGATGGGGGCAGCTGCAAGGCAAGAGCACAGCAAGGGCGAGGGCAAGTGAGTTCCCTGCTGCTGAGGTGGAGGGCTGGGCATGTAGGTTATAACCTTGAGTTTCTGCATGCAAGCTTCCCCTCCTCTCACCTGTGATGCACTGCTGCACCACACTGCCGGCGGTGGTGCACAGCGAGGCCCAGCGCTGGCAGCCGTCGGTGGCGGGGTTGGCCAGACAGATGCTGCCCAGGGCGCTGAAGGGCTGGCAGTAGCTGCCGCTTGCTGCAGGCAGGCAGGCAGGCAGCAGGAAGCACATGAGCTCAGGACTGCTGTGCACTGGCCGTCCGCGTTCCCCCTGCAGTAGCTCTCCCATCACTTGCCTACTCTGCACCCCACCCCTCCCAACCTGCTCCCTTTCCCGTCCTCCCACCTGCGCCGGTGCTGCACTGGTCCCAGAGGCCGCAGCCCACCATGCTGGGCATGGCATCACACAGGCGCTGGATGTCAGCCACTGAGGCCTCGTCAGACTGCTGGAAGCTGCGGCACCGCTCCAGCCCAGGGTCCTCGTAGCATGTGGCAGGCGCCGCGACACTGCCAGCGGGTGTTGTTGTTGCTGGGCGTGGCGAGGGAGGCGGGGCGGCCTCCGTGGTGCCTGTCACGCTCTCTGCGCCTGCAACGCAGCAAGCAATGGGCCACAGACACCTCAGCAGTGCAGAAAAGGGTCGAAACGCCTATGACGCATCCCAGCGCTGCTTTGCTTCATGGCACATCAGGCAAAAGGCGCTGCTCGAGCTCACCCGTCAGCGAGGAGCCCGGCACCAGCTGCCCCTGCGCGCTCGCCCGCTCCGACGGCGGCTGCAGCAGCTGCACCGGCGGCGGGCTTGCCGCCACGGGGGAGGGCGACGGCACTGCTGCTGCTGCGGGCGCCTGCGCGGTGCCGTTGCGCTTGCCGCCGCACAGGCCCCAGAAGCCGCTGCCGACATCCGACAGGCAGAAGGAGGCCCAGGTGCTGCATGTGTCGTTCTGGTCGCCTGCGGTGCTGCCAAGTGTGCTGCCGCTCAGGCCCTGCTCCTCAAGGCAGAGGGCCGCCAGCGAGCCTGCAGGCCAGCAGAGCAGCAAGAGCCGGGTCGACGCCCGTGACACCGCCAGCGCATCATGCTGCACTTGTGTTGGGCCGCCGCCGCCCTCGCCTCCATGCCCCCAAGCACCCACCATGCTCACCTAGGGGATCTGCGCAGTTGGCCTGCAGTGCCTGCACCGTCACCTTGTCTGGGTCAAATGTCTGGGCGCTGCAGCTGCGGCACTCGCCGGCCTGCAGGTCGGCATCTGCAGCGCACAGCTCCTGGACCGCCGTGTACAGCTGCATCGAGGAGCGCAGCTGCCGGATGGGAGGCTGCTGCGCGCACTGCCGCACCACCGACTGTGGGGCGCACATCAGCAGGTAGCTGCAGGCGGGGAGGGGTGCCAAGAAGGGAGGAAGGTGAGGGGGCGCCAAGCCAGCCACGAGTGGCCAGCAACTCGGCATGCCCCGCCGCGCCGCCGTCCAGCTCATGCAGCAAACAGGCTGCATGCCAGGCGCTGCTGCGGTGCATGGCAGGTTGCATAGGAACGACGAACTGCAGGCAGTGCAGTGTATGCCCTGCGCAGCCCACAACCACCCCGTAGATGGCTTTGCTGCCCACAGAACAGCTAGCTATGCGGGGCAGCGGCAGTGGCAGCTGCTCACGGCATGCAGGCCTCCAGCATGGGCGACTCGTTGCAGGCCGTCTGCAGTAGCGCCAGTGGCTGGCAGCTGGCTGGTGCGGCGCGGCCCTGCTGGCACTCGTGCCACAGCGTGCAGGCCGCTGGCCAACCCGAGTAAGTTGCGCCGCCGAGTTGGGAGCTGCCGCAGAGGCTGGCCAGGTCCCGCTGCAGCACCGCCTCTGCCACAGTGTAGCTCTCACAGGCCGCCACGGTCGGGTTCATCTCGCAGGCGGTCTGTGCGCTGGCCAGAGGGGCGGCGACTGCCACCAACAGCAGCAGCAGGCGCGGTAGGAGCCGCGGCAGCTGGCCCGCTGCCGCCATGCCTGCCTGCCCGCCGCGGGCCTCGCTTTGCCCGATCCTGCACCCAAGGCACGGCTACATGCGATCAGTTCCACACAGGGCTGCACCAGCTCTCTCCTTTCACAGCATCTGGGACGCGGGACAAGATCCTTTTTGCCATTCTGTCGGCACGGGCAACGGCGGTGCTTCCCCGCACCTTGGAAGCGTCTGCGGGCTCGAGCGCGCGGTATTTCTGCCCGCCGCGCTGCCCAGGCGTTTGGAAGTCAAGTGCTCAGGGCCTTCGAGCGCACGGGGAGCAGGAGAGGGCAAGGAGGACCGCAAGTCTGATCGCATGTAAAGCAGTCGTGAAGTCGAGGATTTTTGAGCTGTTTGCGGCGGTCAGAGTGGGCGCCAGGTCAGCATTCTGTCCCACACCTCTAACCATCTCCCATTCATTACTGCAGCATATACCCATCATGTACACAGCAGCTGCGGTGTCAGGGAGCCTGCTGCTGATTTGCCGCAACATACGGACTTGCAAGGCGCGCCACAGCCTCTTGCTGGCGCTCCACGACAGCTCAGCCATGCGGTCTGCCAGGTACCGTCGATGGCTGACGGTCAGAGCAGAAGCAGGAGATGCGGTGACAGCGGCGGCGGCGGCCGGGTGAGACTGCCGCACGTGCTGCAGCCCCCCCGGGATGAAAGCTTGTAACATCAGGGTGACGCAGGCTCTCTCAGCGCTGTGCCTACGCGCGTGAATATGCGGTTATCAGAGAAGCGGCTGCATCCACTCTACCCGCCGCCTGCCTCTTCACACCCCTCGTCCCCTGCAGCGCTTTTCTCACACTGGCGGAGCCACACAGTAGCGAAACGGAAGTGAAGAAGAGCAAGTTCATAGCCCATGCCTGGCCCTGCTCGTCCGCCGATGAGGCAGCGCAGCTGATCGGCTCGCGGCGAGACCCTTCAGCCTCGCACAACTGCTGGGCCTACAAGGTGCTTGAGTGGAGATGCGGCTGTGCAGGCTAGGGCAGAAGAGAAAGGAGGGGTTGGCCTTTGATTCATATTGCCTGCGTTCATGTTGCAGGTGGGGCAGCAATACCGCAGCAGCGACGACGGCGAGCCGGGCGGCACTGCTGGCCGGCCAATACTGGCGGCGATAGAGGGGGAGGGCCTGGATGGTGTGGCGGTGCTGGTTGTTAGGCGAGTGCGGTAGCCCGGCGCCTGGCATGGCTGCAGCTTATTCTGCACATGGCTGCTGCGTTTCGGTGGGCATGCCAACTGTGCTGATGAGACCCTGCAGATTCTACGGCGGCGTCAAGCTGGGGGCGGGCGGCCTGGTGAGGGCATACGGCGGCGCGGCGCGCGACTGCCTGCGAGCGGCGCGCAAGCAGCAGATGACGCCATTAATGGAGCTGCGAATGCAGGTGTGCTGCACTCTTAGGTCCCCTGGCCACAAGAGCGCGACAGATGCATCCCCACTCTCAGCCTCCCACATCAGACCCGCTCCTTTCCTTTGCCCCAGGTCCCTTTTGAATTGTTAGGACCTGTGTACCCGCTTCTGGAGCAGTACGGCGCCCAGAAGCAGCAGGAGAGCTATGATGCAGCAGAAGGAGTCAACTTGGTGTTCAGCCTTGAGGCAGGGCGGGCCGAGGCGCTGCGGAGCGCCATCGCTGACGCGACCAGCGGACGTGTCGTGGCAGAGCCGGCGGTGTGAGCTCCGTGCTGCTACTTGTATCAACATTTCATTCATTGAAACAGCATTGTTTATGAGTTTCGGGGAGTATGTACAAATACAATTAGGTGGCGGCGGCAGCTGGCAGGCCACTTGGCTGTGTGGCAAGTCTTGCAGCAGCACTCACCGATTGATTTCACAACTGTTTCGTGTCCTACAACGTCCCTGAGGGTTCAGTGCAGCCTGGAAGCCCACTTCCGTATCGGGCAGGGCAGGCGGGCGAGCTCAGCGCAACACCCCGTGCCCCAAGGCCCCAACAACCGGTAAGGAAGGAGCGGTAGAATCGATCGAGGGCTGCGCGCCAGCCCGGTTTGGCTCTAGGACATGCCCTGGCCGCCACTGCCGCCGGATGCCGCCGACACCGCCGGCCGCAGGTCCAACCCGACTGCAAAGCAAACAAGTCGCTCTAAGCTGATTCTAGAAGATATCAAGCTGATCCTAGTGCCTGGAGCATGCCGTGCCGTGCCCTCTCCCTGGCGGCCCTAGTGGGCCTTGCCCTGCTGGCGGCCAGCCCTCAGCTGGCAGCCGCCCAGGATGACACGACATTGGCGGAGGACTGCACAGCGGAAGTCCAGAGCGCAGTGGACCAGGGCAACTGCTCCGCGATAGCCTGCCCGGATTCATGCATCGAGGCCCTGGCGCAGGTGCAGAACAGCCCCCCTGCTGCTGCCTCCCTCCCTGTGCCCGCAAGCCTCCGCCCCAGGCTTCCTGTTGCCCCCCCGCAGATTCCCGTGGGCTGCGTCTGGGCCGCCATCAACTACACCTTGGAACAGGGAGCTGCGGCAAGCAGCTTGAGCCAGCTGTGAGTTGGCCTGCCTGCCGCGAAGGCGTTGCCCACCACATGGCAGCCGCAAGTTGGTGCCAATCGCCACACCCTGCGCCTACTGCAGCCAGGCTGACATTGATGCGTGTGGCTTTGGCAAATTCTTCGTCATCAATTCGACCGAGTGAGCAAGCACGGAGCCACGTGCTGCCCGTCCTACCAGGCAGCGTGTCTGTGTCGTGCCGCCCTTGCTGCATTGTGGCACGATCCTCACGGGCGCCCCCCTGGCCTGCTCTGCTTGCTGTGCAGCTCCCACCAGTTTGACACCGGCGCCTCCACAACGACAATTGTGAAGTACTTGATAGGCATCTGCCTGGGAGCGGTCCTCATGAGGTTGGCGGGCGGTTGGTTGTCAGCCCGCTGCTGCATGGGCACATCCCCATGTGCGTGAGCATAGCGTCGGTGCAAACAGCGGCGCGGTCGCAGGGGTCAATCGCCCCCTCATGCAACGCAGCCTGTATTGCTGCTATACCGTGTGCACTAATGCCTCCGCGTCTTGTAGCAGTCCTGCTTGGCTTGAGTGGCGATGGCGCCAGCGGGTGCATGCCAACCTGCAGCTACACATCGCATGCTTGTGCCTGCCTCCTGCCGCCCGCTGCCTGCTGCAGCATCGTGTTCATTATTCTGATGGCGGCGCCAGCTTTCCTGGGAAAGGCCATCGGCGCCCCCACCGTGCTGGTTGCGGGCGGCAAGCGGGCCATGATGCAGGGCAAGGCAGCCTTGGTGCAGCGCACGGAAGCGTTGGCAAACCAGAGCTGGGCCACGGCAGCCAAGGAGAGCTGGGCTTCTGCTGCCGACGCGTTTGGTGGCAGCAGCCATGCTGGCAAGGACGCAGCGGTGGTTTACCATGCTCCTGGGGTCGCCAAATCCGCGGCCATGGAGGCGGCAGCAGGAGCCAAGAAAGCGGCAGCAGAGGCAGCACATGCGGCGATGGAAGTGGAGGAGCAGGCAGCAGGCTTTGCGGGCGAAGCGGTGGACGCTGGAGAGGCGGCCCTGGCTGGGCTGCAGCACAGCGTGGTCGAGGAAGGAGCGCCAGCTCGCAGAAATGACATGGAGGGAGGCGGCACGCCCAAGGGCCTGCAGGCTGTCCAGACCCATGCCAGCGAGGGGGCGAGGACCGCTTTTGTGGTGTGGGCGTTTCTGGCCGGTGGCCTCTACATTGCTTCGCTCGCCTTGCTCGTCATTGGCACGGTGAGCTACCATCTGGCCTGGCAGCCGCAGCTGCGCAGGCTCTGCCATGCCGTTTGGGAGCTCACAAGGGACAATCATCACCTGAACCGCTGCCTCAGCTCACCTGCTACTGATGGTGCAGCTGCAATTTGTGCACAATTCGGTGGCGGCGTACTCCCTGGTAAGCTTTGGCCTGCCTGCCTGCCTGCGCCTGCAACTGCCTCTCCAGCAAGCCTGCATGCTGAAGCATGGCCTCCACTTGCCTTGGCTTGCGCTGCAGGACCGCAACGACAACGATGGAGCGCTGGTCGCCATGCAGTGGCTGATGTGAGTGAGGAGGCGTGATGTGCTGCATCTAGTCCATCAGTGGGAGGGTCCCCAGTCTGCATGCTGACACCAGCATGGCTGCCTGCAGCCAGGTGTGTGTTGTGGCTGAGCTGCGGGGCCCATGCTGCCCTCTGGCCTGCAGCATTGGCGCCATCATCCTCGTCGGCGTCTGTGATCTGTGTGCAATTTGGATTGTGATGGCCGCCAACAAGGCGGAGTTCACGCTGTGGCGCTGGAGGTGGCGCAACTTCCTCTACAGTCAATGGGTGGAGAGATACGCCTACAAAATCCACGTGGTGGTGGCAGGGCTGGTCACCCTGGTCATGTCTGTGGTGAGGCGCCACCTCAAGTCGTTTTGATGACTTGATTTGCACTGCAGCGCTGCCTGCCTGCCTCACCACATCACCGCTCCCGAGTTTACTTCGTTACTGAGGGGGAGCATGGTGCTGCTGCAGGCCTGCATCCTGTTTGGGATTGGCCTCATCGTTGTCGTCATCCAGCTGTCGGTGCAGCTGTTTTGCGCCGAAATTGATTCGCTGAGCGTCAACGGCATCCCCATCTCCGACGTCTGCATCAACATGCCCACCAGTGAAGGTATTCCCTGTCAATTCAACAGCTGTTGTATGCCCCAATGGGCAGTGGACGAAAACATGTCAGTGCTGTTTTGACAGTGGATTGCTCACGATGCTGCTCGCTCTGCTGGCCCCGCTCTCGTCCATCTTGCTGCAGTGCCCATCTGTGGCTGGGGCGCGATGGACATCTGTTATGATGTGAGGGGCAGCCGCCGCTGCTCACCACCTGGGCAGCTGCCACAGAAGAGCAGCACCATCCCGCATTGGCGGACCAAGTCACGCATGCTTGGTGTCTTCACCTCCGACTTGCCGCGCCCACCCCTGCTGCTGCAGATCACCAATATGGGCGTCCTGACCCTTGTCCTTGGGGCCGCCCTGCTGCTGTGGTCCCACATCATTTGGTGAGTAGCGTGGAACACACACTCCACTGCCTTCAGCCTGCGCCAGCAATGTGGCTAGCCAGTCGTCTGTCTTGCCAGGGTCGCAGGGTTTAGTGGCGCGCCGAGGCATGCGAAGACAGGAAGGCTAATGGCCTCGACTCAAGTGGTTGCTGTTGCCCTGCACCTGTCCTTGAAGGTTCACACTGTTGCTCCTTTCCACATGGCGTTACCTGAACTGGACTGTGGTTATTGCGCCTAATGGGGCAGGCGAGTCGACTGCGTCCCTGCTGGACAAGAACGGCGAGGCCAGGGGTGGCAGCAATGTCGGCGATGTGCCACAGGGCAGTGGCAGCAACGACAGCAGCAGCCGACATCGGCAGGCGCTACAACAGGGCGAGAATCCTGAGAGCTGATGCTGAGAACTGGGGGCCAATGCAAGTGCGTGTTCTGCGTGAGCCTGCCTTCGCTCTTGGACGGAAGGCAATCAGTATGTGTCTTGCGATAGCACCTGTTGCGTTTTTTTGCTTGTTTCGACATGACACGCCCCCAACAGACATGCAACCAAGTCACAGGCTCGCGACGTGGGCACCGTGCGGATTCGAATGCCGCCATGCTGCGCCTGCCGCGACCGCTCCGCCACAAGAGCATTCCTGCCACCCCGCTTCTTCAGCCTGGCTTTCCAGGTGGCTTGCGTTGCCTGGCTCGTGTTGCCTGGCTGCTGGGTGCTCCCTTCGAAACCCCTTCAAAAAGCCTGCCCAACAGCTCGACCCGCTGCCAGCTTCCTCCCAAGCAGTCAGCAGGGCTGATCGCAGGCCCCTGATCGCCACCCGCAGCACGCCGCTACTGCGGCAAGGCAGCCGCGATGAGCGGGGGCAGGGTGAAGGACGTGAGCGACGAGTTCATGGTGGAGGACGCGACGCGTGAGTGCGGCCAGGCAGCCACCGGAACTGCGCCGTTCGTGTTGGCGGCGGCGGACGACAGGCTGCCGCCACCTCCACGAACCGCCGCTGGTGCCCCGCCACGACCGCTGCGTCGCGCTGCCCTCTACCACCTCCCTCCCACGCCTGTTGCGCCGCGCAGCTTCGGGAGGACCCAGGCAGCTTTCAGGGGCGCAGCGCGAAACAGACCCGCACCGGCTGGCGCAGCGCCAGAAGCAGCTCGACCTCGGCAAGAACACGCTTGGGTACCAGCGCTACCGCCAGGCCGTGCCCAGGTGCGCCGGCTGGCAGTCGGGATGCAGGCAGCGCTGAGCGGGCAGCAAGCGGTTGGGGTGCTCCAAGCTGCCTTCTTCCAGATTTTCCGGCCGCTTGATCTGCCTCAACCCACCAAGCCCGCGCGTGCCGGCATCTGCCCCCATTGCCTGCAGGGAGCGGCGCAACAAGAAGACAGATCCCATGACGCCTGACGTCTACCAGGTGCCCAGCTGTCACCCGGAAAGACCTGCTGGCTTGTGCTGCTGTTTTGTGCGGCTGGATGCACTTGCCAGGTCAGCACGCTTGGGAGCAGCAGCGCTGAGCTAGTTGCCTGGTGCCGTGCTTCCCCTCCTGCGTGCCACCTGCAGATGTGCAGCAAGCGGGCGTTTGAGGGTCAGGTCAAGAAGTGGCGGCGCCAGCTGCATGCCTGGGACCCTCCAGAGGTGCGAGCGCCACGGGTTGCGGCACAGCTGCCAATCCCCGCTCCAGCTCCCTGCTGCTCCTTCCCTTGCACAGCCACCCTGCCATCCCACCTCACCCTGCGCGCCTGCCTGCCCCGCCGCCCCCGCAGGACGGCGGCGAGCCGGCGCTGCTGCCGGTGCACTCGGATGTGGGCGGCCTTGCCAGCAACCCGCCGCCGCCGGCCGGCGAGCCCTCAGACGACTTTGAACACATCTCGCACGCAGGTAGGTGGGGGCAGCAGGGGTTTTGTTGTGGCTGGCCAGCTGGCCGAACATTGTGGCCAGGGTAGCTGGCTAGCTCGGTTAACCATTGCATGACTGTTAGGCTTGGAACTCTTGGCAGCACGAGCCCACGCTGGAGCTGCCGCTCAGCATGCATGCTCGAGGGCCTTGTGCTCTCCCGCCAGCAGATGTGGCAAGCGAGCAGTGCGCCGCGACCCCAGACATGGGCAGCGGCAGCGGCAGCCGTGCGCCAAAAAACGGGGGGGCGCTGCGGGTGGGGCCTGCCGGCCTGCCGCTCAAGATTCCGTCGGCCATGCGCAAGCGCGGGTTCGACGAGACTATGGCGGCGGTGAGCTGGCAGGGTGCAGGGGTGCCTTGCGTGCATTGGTGGGATGGTTGGGTGCATTGGTATGAGATGGTTGGTGGTTAAGAAGGGCAAAGAGGGAATGGCACCTGTTGCTGCAGCATTTGCGATCAGTATCAGCTTACAAGCTAATGGGCTTGTATCTGCCCGTCTCCAAGTTCTGTTTTGGTCGAGCCACTGCTGCTGCACCAACCACCCATGCCCTGCAGGCTGGCAACAACGAGAACCTCCACCCGCAGCGCAACATGCAGGCGCAGCCGGCGGCACCCGACGCCAAGCTGCAGAGGCGTTCCTTGGAAGCAGAGGAGGGGCCCAAGGCGGGCAGCGGGGCGGCAAGCGTTCCAAACTGGACTGACCAGCGCTTCCAGGACCCCGAGTTGGACTATGGGTAAGATGGGGGCAAGCAGGGTGGGCCGCTGAATGTTTGTGGCTCGCGTGGTTTGCGGGAACAGCATGAAGTGTGAGGAGAGCGAACTGCGGTTCACCTAGGCTCTTTCTCGCTGTTCAACGATTGCCTGGTTTTGGTTGTGTCCTTACCCGCCTGTGCAGCGCCAGCGAGGAGGAGGAAGACGGCGGCTGGCAGCATGTGCCGCGCGCGGCTGAGGGGCGCCTGCCGGGGCAGTACAAGAGCATCTACAACAACATAGCGGCAGAGCAGTGGGATGAGGAGGAGGTGCAGATCTGAGCCAGGCCCTGCTGGAGCTGAGCAGCGAGGGCGGGCATGTGGAGTGGAATGGAACAGATGTTGACACTGGCCACCTGCTCGCCCAGCTGGAGCAGCTTGCAGCCGAGCCTTGGGCAGCCCCCACGAGTGAGGGAGATGTTCGGCACGCTGTTGTATTGGTGAACTGTTCGGCATTTCGCCTTGCCGTGTTTGTACTTTAAGCTTGATGCTACTGGCCAGCAGGGGAGCGGTTAGCACTGTGCAACATTTGCGTATAGCTTTGAAAGTTGGCCCTTGCCATCTGTTCCTTCCATGACCGCTGCGCCTTTCTGAGCAGCCGTGCCTGCTCGCCTTCTGGTCCATTCATTACATGTCGCAACGAGCCAGCTCCTGGCACAACCCCACAGCACCAGCCCCCCCACATACGGTACGACGCCCGGCGAGCCATCTTCATGAATTCATTGCTGTCAAGACAGAAAAGTAAGCAAAGTAACAAGAAGAGTCAGTTGCCGGCCAGCCAAAACCTTTCCAACCTGGACGGACACGTCAGGGCGAGCGCAGGGCAGGGATGGTGCCGCCGCTGGCAGCTGCCTCCACCTCCCGCAGCAGCTCGGCGTTCAGCTTGCGCTCCGTCTCCGTCATGGCAGCCACCGAGCGGCGCGCCTGCGGGTCACGGAGTAGGACAACGCGGCAGTCGGCGATGATCACTCCGTGATTGACTGACCAGTGAGATGGGTCACATGCCTGCTTTGCCCGCAATGTCATGGCATCCTCCTGGCAGTCGAAGCATGTGTGGAGGGCCCCTAAAACCACACCCCGCCCACCTGGTTGTCTGTAATCTGCTGGTCCAGCTCCGCCTTGAAGGCCCGCATCTTGGCCAGCTCGGCCGCCTTGGCCTCTGCCGCCGTCTTCCTGCACACCTGCAGCATGCCAGCCAGGGTGAGCAATGAGTGTGGCAGGTTCTGCCCAGAAATTGTGCAGCAGCAGCTGCAGTAGGAGCGCCAAGCGACAGCAGCTGCTCACAGCCAGCCAACAGCCAGTCACAGTGCAGCCCTCCATGCGCCCTCCGCACCTCCAGGTTGGCCATCAGCGCCACCAGCTCCCGCCGCTTCTCCTGCAGCTCCTGCAGCCTGGCCGCCTCCCGCTGGCTGCGCTGCTCCCCAATGTCGGCACGCAGCTTGGCCGCTGCCTCGGCTGCCCTGGCCTTGCGCCGCGCCTCCTCTGCCGCCAGCGCCGCCTGCTTCTCCCTGCTCAAAGTGGGGGCAGCAGCAAATGCAGGCGTGCTGTCAGCTGCTCCCTTCGCATGTCCAATTGAAGTGTGCCTGTACCTCTCCCTGGTCAGCATGCCATGCAGGGGCAGCATGCCATGGTCATGACATGAGTGAGTGGTCAGCATGCCATGCCACTCACTGGAACTGCCGCTCGATGATCTCCTCCGCCACCCAGCGCTTGAAGGGCGGCCGCTGGGCCGCATCCTCCGCCTGACGGTTCTGCAGCGCATGAGAAGCAGGGTGGGCAGCAGCTAGACCATCAGACCTGGACCCTGAGGATATTGACAGCTTTGATACTAAAGCTGAACTCCCTTGGCCACCCGACCACTTTTGCACACCAGGGTGGGCAGCAATCCCCCAACTCTCCCCCGCACCTGCACCGCCCGCACCCTCTCCAGCAGCTGCTGCCGCTCGCGCTCCTGCTTGTCCAGCTGTGCCGCCTGCTGCTGCATGTACCGCACATCCTCTTGCCGCTCCACCTCCGCCTGCTCCTCCTTGATCTGTGGGGGCAGAGGGCCTGGAGGAATCAGCCGCAGCTATTTGATAACACCATGGTGAGCTGGATCTGGTGAACTGCCTGTGCAGCACCATGGCCTCCCAGGATGTTGCACGTCAGGAGGGCTCTGTCACCACCCACCTTCTTGTTGGCCTCGTTGCTGAGCAGGAAGGCCTTGAGCTCCTCCTTGGCCTTGGCCTTGGCAGCAGCCTCCGCCTAAACACACACAGCACCGCGCATGCAAACCCCACTCCAGCAGCCAAGCTCAGCGCCTGGCGTGGACGAGCCGCCACCCATGCATGGGCACCCCGGCATAGCGACTGTCCCCCAGCCCGCCCCATCCAGCTTGCCCCTCCCGCCCACCTCGATCTGCCGCTTCACATCCAGTGCGATGCGCGCCGTCAGCTCCTCTTCGCCCCGCCGCCGCAGCTCTGCCGCCGCCTGCTTGCGGTTGGCCTGCTCCTCCAGCTGCACCTCGCGGTCGCCGCGCAGCTTCAGCACCGACTGCTGCCGCGCCGCGCGCCGCGCTTTCTCCTCCTGCACTTTGCCGTTGGGGGGAGGGGCTGGCGGTGTGAATGCACCTGAAGGATCTCGGTGGCAAGCGCTGCTGGCAGGCCGGGTGCGGCAAGGCGTTTCCCTGGAGCCAGCGCTGCACGCCCGCCCCAGCCAACCTTCTCCCACTCCTGCAGCTCCTTGTCCACCTCCTTGAGCTCCTCCCGCTTGTGCTCCTTCTCAGCTAGCCTGCAGGGCAGGCAGGCAAGCACTTCTGGGACAGGTAAAGATCATGGCAGTCCCCCCCCTTGCACGCCCGCAGACATACACCATAGGGCCACACATACAAAGACACACGCCACCAGCCACAAACCGCCGCCACGTACTTGCGCTTCTGCGCCTCTGCCACCTGCCCCGCCATCAGGCTGTGCACCTCGCGCTTGTGCACGCTCTCCGCCGCCGCCCGCTGGCTCTCGTCCTTGCGCTCCATCAGGGCCATGAACAGCGAGATGCGGCTCCACTCGTCGTTGCTGAACAGGCTCTTCGTGGCGGCCAGCCGCTCGGCCTTGCCGCTGGCGCCAGTGCGCGACGCCAGGCGGTTGCGGATGGCATCTTCCAGGTAGCTTATGTCCTGGTCCTGCATGGCTTGAGCGGGGAAAAGGGCAGGACTAGGGCTGGCATCTGCAGCTGGTTGGGCTTGTTCAGGTGCAATCAGCACAGGGAGGGCTTCTCGGGGCTCCACAGCGCACACTGCCTGCCTGGGGCACACCTCGCCTCCGCCTCCCTCCTTGATGAAGCGCAGCACCTCCTCGCTAATGATGCGCCCGCTGGCCTCGCTGGTGGCCTCCTGCAGGGCACAGCCGCGTTCAGGGGTCCGCTTCAAGTTTTCGCGCCAGCAGCCGGTGACGGCGACCGCGGCAGCCCTCACCGGGAAGTTGGCCTGCAAGCGCCGGATGATGGACTCGGCGCCCGCATCCATGGCGCAGTGCCCTCCTTCCTGTCCCCTGCACGGGAATTGGGCTGGAGAGTGAGTGAGGCACGCATGTGGTGTTCCGCTGACTTCGGCCGGCAGGGTGCTGGCTGCCTCGGGCCGCACCTGTGAGACTGACAAGCCCGCCAAAGGCTCAATTCAGCCACTCCCCGAAACCCTGGGCGCGTGTGGAGGTAATCCACTTGGGCTGACTCGCGCGCGTGTAGCCGGCTGGTGGTGGCAACTGCTGATTAAATCGAAGCTCAACCAATGCTACCGGCACGGTGAAACCTGGAACGGGAACTGTGCCAGCTCGGCGGCGGAGCTGTCTCTTCTCCCTGCCCGCTGCTGGGTCCCCATCGATCCATTCACGGAATCCGGGACTGTTATAGCAACAGCGAGCCGCTTCCCGGCTACCCAGCTCACCGTTTGCCTCGCCCCCTGCTCCAGCAGACTTTGCTGCCCGGCCCGCAGCTGCTCTCCTGGGACTGAGACAGGCAGTGGGAGCATGCCGGGCACCGCCGCGCTGCTGCAGGTGCGCCGCCCCGAAGCGACAGCCCACAGCTGAGCCGAGCTGTGCACAGCTGCATTGGGTGCTGGGCAGGCTGCACTGCTGACCGCTCAATCGCAGGCAGCTGCTACCGGGGAATGGCCGTTTGTCGCTCACCCTGGCGCCGCCCTTGCATCGCTGCCCGCCGCCGCTGACGCGCAGGCCGGCGCCCTCGGCGGCCGCCGCCTGCTGCAAGACTGTGACGTAGTGGGCAGCGTGGGCAAGGGCGGCAGCATCGCCATCCTGATCCTCATCGGCTTTGTGCTGGGCGGCTCCTGCTCCTGTCTCTTCTTCTGGTGGCGCCAGCGCCGTGCACTTCGTATCGAGGTGGGCAGGAGAGGCTGGGGCGGCTCTGAGCCTGCCATCCGCATTCCTCTGTTGCAGTTGTTTCAAAGCTGGTGCATCCCCCAGTGCCGTGGATCTGGGCCCCTGGCTAAGTGTCACCAGCTCTCACAATGTCTTCCGACCCATCCCCCCCCCCGCAGCTTGAGTACCGCAGCCGCTACGGTGACGCCTCGAAGCGCGACCTGCCCGATGTCACCGCCATGGTCAAGGTGACGGCCGCAGGCAGCGCTGGGGATCGCTGGCCGCGCCAAGTGAGCCGCGACCGGCCCCACGCTGCTCCCCATGCCTCCCAAGACGGTCCCCCCCCCCGCTTGTAGGCGGCAAACACCCCCACCATCAACCGCGGCACCACCTCCGAGCTGGCCCCCTTGGGCTCGCAGCTGCCCAAGGCTGCGTCGGCGATGTCAGAGGGCCCTCTGGCCATGGGGGCAGCGGGCTCCTTCAAGCACGACATGCTGGCGCAGGCGCTGTCGGCCAAGGAGCGGCAGCACAGCAACCCGGTGGCAGACATGGCGCGCAGCAGCAGCGGCAACCCCTTCGCCGGCGAGGTGGGTGGTTTGGCCAGGAACAGTTGGTGCAGCTTACACATTGCTGCTGCGACAAACTCGTGCTGTAGAGCGCCACTTGCCTGCGGCATCAGCATGACTCTGACTTCCTGCTTGCAGGTCCCCAGCTTCAATGTGCTCAAGAATGATGTCTGCTCTCTGAACAACACGCCCTCCCCCTCCACCCGCACCGGCCAGCCCAGCCGCCAGAACAGCGGGGACGGCCAGCAGCAGCCAGGTTGGGCTGCGTGATTATCGTTGGCCGCTGCAGATGCTGGCACTCGAGTCAATGCACGTGTGTGTGCCGCTGATTGCCTCCTAATGTGATGATGTGACTACCGCCTCTCGCATTGTCTTCCGCAGGCCTGATCGGCACCGACGTGTTCACCCCAGCGGACGATCCCGACTCCCCCCGCATCACCAAGCCCGCACCAGGCCCTCCCAGCGCCTCCCCGCCGGGTGACGCCTTTGCATGGGCGGGTATGGCCGCGCAGCCAGCTGTTGCTGCAGCCAGCGAGCATGTCGTGGAGTCGCGCATTGATTCAGTGGTTGTCAAGGACGCTGGCGCAGCCGGCAACGTGGCAGCAGCAGGGATGGGGGCGGCAGCTGGTGCCGCTGCTGCTGTGCACAGCGGCAGCGACTATCTGGCGGCGCTGCATAGCACAGGCACCAACCCTTTTGAGACCCCGGCGCTGCGGCAGGAGCAGGAGCAGGAGGGGACCAGCACCAAGGCGGCACACAAGCAGGAGCTTCTGCAGCAGGTGGGTGGAACCACACGCCACCAGCAGCGACAAGCATCCCCAGCATTCCGCCTCATCCTCTTGGTGCCGATTTCTGATTTCTGAATTTCTGATTCCTGTCGCCTCTATTGCCCGGTTCTTCCCCTGGGTTGCAGGTCCAGGGCGAGGAGTATGGCGACGATGAGCTGGACCCAGAGTGGCAGGCTCTGTTGTCGCATCTGGACGAGCGCCTGCAGGTGGGCTTGGGCTGCCAGCTGGGAGGCGAGTGGGCACAGTTCAGAACAGCCGCATTGCTGCCCGCTGGCCCTTCACAAGCAGCGCTGGCCCGCCGACGTGTGTCTTGGTCATCCCTGCAGGCTGCCGGCCGGCCCCGCCTGAGCACCCGCGAGCGAGCTGTGGCCATCCGCTCCCTCATCGTCGCCACCGCCAGCCAGTCGGCCGACGTGGCGCTGTCCAAGGCCATGCACGATGTCGAGGCATACAGGCAAGCTTTAGTGCCAGTCGCAGTACTTTTGCCGGGACCAACGGCTGCAGGCTGCCGCATGTGGGGCTTAGCGCTGAAACGCTGGCATGTGGTTGGGTGTTGTGCAGGCGGGCGCAGTCATTCCGGGCTGCTGCATGACAAGCAGCACTCGGTATGGTGGCTCCACTAGGGGCTGCTGCTCTGAGTCATGCATCATCGCACGCCAACAAGCGACCCAGTGACCTGTTTCCAGGGAAAATAGCTGCAGGCAGTGTGCCTGGTTATGGTTTCTTGCTGCGTACCTCTTGTGAGAAAAAACCCATGCGTTCCTTTATTCACCATCACATTTCAACCATAGGCCATGCAAACCTGCAAGGCTTCCGTGAGGCCGCTGCCTCACCATCACCCTGCCCCTGGTCCCCCTGGTGCCCCTTGCTGTTCATCTTCGCAGCACGGTGATGGTACAGCACCATGTGATTAAATGGGTGGGTAGGCGCCATCCAACCGGCAGGTCGGTCGGGCATTATTAATGAATTCTCAAGCATGCGGCATCAGTGCGGGTGCCGCGCCGACTGCCATTGACGGCCACGGCGGCGGGCACAACCACGGCCCCCAGGCAGAGCGCCGCCAGCACCGGCAGCAGCAGGGTGCCCAGCAGCAGCAGCGCGTACGGCGCAGCCCGGCGCCACGCCCGACGCAGGGCCGCCTGCATCGGCGTCTCGCCAGGGCAGGTGCCGTTGTTGAGGACGAGCGCCATGCTTTCGCAGGGCGCCGCTGCCGCCAGCGCCGCTGCCACGGTGGTGTTCAGGAACTTGCGGGCCAGCAGGCGGCAATGCGGGCCCAGCGGCTGATGCTCCTGGCGGTGCCGCACCGCCAGCTGCTCCAGCTGCCGGCACATGCCCGTCAGCGCGGCGTCCGCCTGCACAGAGCCGGCAGCCGCAGTGGACACGCCCGCCAGGTCTGCTGCCTCGACAAATGCGCCGCGAGCGGTGACCGCGACTCGCGCTGCGTGGCCGCAGCGTGGCTGCCCCGGCCGCCGCAGCTGGTGCAGCAGCTTGTCTGTCAGCTCGTCTGGCATGTACTCCCACGGGTGCGGCGAGATGTTGCTGACTCGGGACCAGTCTGTATCTGCAGCACGGGTAGTCCAATGGGGAGCATGGGCGAAAAGCCGGCCTACGCAGCACGAGGGATACTGCAGGGGTGGCAGGGGATGCAGTGCCCAAGGCAGGCACAGCTGGACGCTCCCCCGGGCGCACCCATGAGCCAGCCCTGGCAGTCCGTCTCCTCGTCCCGGCCGTGCACCGCCAGCAGGGTGGGGATGTAGTGCTCGTCTGCAGCAGCGCCAACCAGGGAGCAGGTCAAGTGCCTGCATCTGTTCATCACAGCTCGCAACGGCATACGCAGCAGCTATGCTGGCACCTGCCACATGAGCGCTGGCACACAAGGCCCAATTGGCAACCCACCGCTATAGCACTCCCGCTCCGCCCCCCGGTCCTGCTCAAACATGGTGCGGCAGTGGGCCCGGAAGGAGGCATCCACCGCAGTGTCTGACAGCACCAGGTCCACGTGCCGTCGCCCCAGCGCAAACCACTGCAGCCAGGGCACAGCCACAGCAGCCAACAAGCTTGGCACCTGCTGTTGGCCAGCCGCTGGCAGCAACAAGCAATCGCTAACCGGTCTCGCGACATAGGCCAAGCAGACATGAAGATGCACCTGCCAGCTCTTGCGCCAGTGGTGGGGCTTGAGCACTTTTGTCTCCATGCGTGGGACCCAGCGGTGGTCAAACAGGCGCCACCCGTCGGTGGTGTTGCACGCATTCAGGCGTGAAAGCGGCTCGCCCAGCAGCTGCAGGGGCAGGCGGCAGAGGATCCAAGCACTTTGCAAGCAGCAGCCATTCTCTCTCAACAGCAGCAGCAGCTCCGGAAGAGCTTAACCAAGGCACAGCAGCAAACAGCAGCAGAAGCTGCTCCCACCTGCGTGTACAGCACATGCGGCGAATACAGCGGGAGGTCTGATTCGCTCATCAGCACAAACTTGACGTTGCGAGGGTTGCGGTGCGCCGCCTTCAGCAGCGCCCGTGCTGCAGGCCAGCAGGAGAAAGGTCAGCAGCAGCGACCGGGCAGCGAATGTTGGTGAATAGCTGAGGCAACCTGCAGAGGTAAAGGCGGGAGGTCGTCAGTGCCTGCTCTCCCACCTGCATCCACAAGGCTGTGCTGCCCCCACTCGGTGGCCACCCGCTCAATGCGAGGCAGCTCCCTGCCATGGAACAAGCTGTTGGCAGGGTAGCCTGCGGCACGGGTGAACAATTGAGAGGAGAATGAAAGCCGCGAAGCAACAGCATTGGCAAAAGTGCAGTTTGGCAAGCAGGCATGCATCTGCGCCCTGTGCCCAGCCAGCAGCCAGCAGCCCACCTTTGAAGCTGGGGTGGGGGTGCACATACACATCAAACAAAATCTGCTCGCCCAGCACACCGCTGGCAGGTGGCATGGCCCTGCCCTTTGGAGCCACAAATCCGGCATTCACAGTGCCGGCTCTATTGCTGGTGGCGCTATGCTTGCTGTGAGCCTGCTGCAGCAGCCGGCTGGAATGACTGGGGCTGGCGGCTGGCTCTTCCAGCGGCTGGCCTTCGTGTTCCTCTGCCAGGCCCGGCTGCGGTGCAGTCACACCTTCCGAATCTGACAGCACGCCGCCATCCACAGGCTCCACGCCGCCGTCTGCGCCGCTTCTGCTGCTGCAAGCTTGCAGCACCCGCCGCTGCCGCTCGCCTGCCGATGGCTGGCTGCTGCTGCTGCTGGCGGCATTGCCGCCGCTGCTGCTATTGCTGCTGCACAGGGCTGCGGCCAGTGCGTCTGTGGGCAGGAGGCCTGCTGCCGACTCAAACCAGAGGCGCCACAGCACCTCATGGTGCATCGGGCCCTTGACAAGAAAAAGCAGCGCGACCTGGGGAAGCTGCAGCGCCTCGCCGCACGCGTGTGCTGCCGTGAAGGCACGATGCGCCCCTGCCGCCCCTGCCGCCGCCCGGGCACCGCCCTCGCTGACGGCATCCAGCAGGCTCTCCGCCAGCAGTTGGCCCCGGTGCTGGCGGCCATGGATGCTTGCCAGTGTCAGCAGCATCAGGGCAGACAGCCAGGTGCCGTGCAGCAGCAGCACGCACTGCATTCGCTGCCGCCTGACAGGCCGCCGCTGAGGGGTCGGCGCTGGAGCAGCGGCGGCAGCGGTGCTGCTGCGAGGCGCATCGCCGCAGGCCTTTGCCTTCGACGGCGATGCAGCCACGCCGCGGCGCAGCCTGAGGAGGCGAAGCATCACGCAGCAAGGGGAACACACGAACGAATTGGAGTCATGGCGGCCAGCAGGAGCAGCACAAGGTGCCCCGGACGCCGGCGTGGACGTCAATTGAGCGATTGAATGGTGTTGCGCCGTGAACTGCCAGGAAGCACAAATGCCTTCCATCAACTTTCCAACCCTTCAGTTCCCCCATCCGGCACGGCCTCAGTGTCTCCCGTACGTGTTTCAGCATTTGAGGTTCGCACAGTGTGATGCACGGGGTGAGAGTTCAATGCAATTTGGTTGCAGCGCCGCCAGAGAAGGAGAGGCGCCAACCAGCGGCGGTCAACAGGGCGCCGACTGTGCAAAAAGCCTGCCCCGATTATTTTCAGTATGAGCTCTGGTCTGTTCAGCTTTAGAGCATGAGATCTGGTCTGTTCAAATTTTAGAGCAGAAAGTCGTCTACCGTAGCGGCATGATGCAGACACTGGGCTGAGGCCATGTCGTCACCGAGGCAAAAATATGCTGACGGGTATTTCAAACCGATCAATGATGCTGTGCAGAAAGGGTTCGTGAAAAAGAACAAGCAAAGGGAGCCTGGAAAAATACAGAAACTGAGGCCACTTGCATCACTTTCATTTACCACCGCAGCACGGTGGAGCAGGCGCAAGGCCAGGTGCGCTGCCGCCACAGCACCCGCCGCCACCGCCTGCGTTGCTGCCCGGCATGGGCGCCCCGCTGCCATGGTGCCCCGCGCCTGCGCAGCCGGCGCAGCCAACCACGTGGCAGCTGGCGTCGGTGCTGCAGCAGCAGCACTTGCCGCTGCCGGCGCCGCAGGTGCCCTGGTGATGCCTGCCGTCCTCCTGAGGGCCCCCCTCTTCGTCGCTGTCGCTGGAGCAGCAGGCGCACCTGCAGCAGCCGAGGAAGAGTGGGTCGATAGGGCAGTTAGTGGTCAAGGGTAGCCAGCAAAGGGCACAACATATGCAGGTGAGAGGTCACAAGCGGCCGCTCGCAGGGCCCACAGATTGATGGGCAACGGCCGAGGAGAACGCTCACCTGTCCAACAGCGCACATGGGCAGCCAGGGGCGCACAGGCAGCCGGGGTTCTTGCGAGGCGTGCTGGGCTGCATCTCTGGCCCCGAAGGATCTGCTGCCGCAGCTGGCCGCACGCTTGCCGGCCCAGGAGCAGCGGCTGGCGGCTGCGCCTGCTGCTGTGCAGGAGCTAGAGAAAGTGCCTCGGCCACTGCGGCCTGCACCTTGAGCCATGGTGCTGGCGACGGCTCGGGAACCGCCGCCGCGGCCAGCGGCACGCCTGGCACGTGCTCGCGCTGCGCCTTTGCCTGCTGCAGGTGGAGCAGTGCAGCAACCTCCATTTCCAGCGTCGCTGTCGCCTCGGCGGCACCGCTGCTGCCGCCGCTGCTGCGTGCCGCGCCAGCGGCTCTGTAAAAGTCTGCCGGGGTCTGGCCATCCACGGTGCAGCAGCACTGCCAGGCCCGGGCCCCCGGGGCGCAGCGGCTCAGCAGCAGCAGCACCGCGTGGCGTGCCGCCGCGGGGTCTGGCAGCAGCGCCGCCAGGTGCAGCGGCGTGATGGCCATGGGGCCTGCCAGGTCGCAGCGCCAGGGGGCGCCCGCGTCCTCGCCCCACCCCAGCACAGCGCGCAGCGTGGCGCCGCACCGCGACTCCACTGCTCGGTGCAGCAGCGAGAGGCCGTCGTGGCAGGCCAGCTGCGGGCAGGGGGGCACAGCAGCGCGAGGCAGCGATCAACAGGCGCGTTTCAGGACAACTAAGAACAAGAGCAAAGCAGACGCCGGCTGCAAGCGCTTGTTCACGGCACAGTGCTGGGCCCGCAGACTCACCTCTGCGGCGCGCTGCATGGCGGCGGCGCTGGTGGCCTGCATGGAGAGGTGCAGCTGAGAGAGGCCGTCCATGGTGGCCAGCGCGGCGGCCGCCGCGCCGCCTGCCGCCTCGTGGCGCAGAGCCCGCTGCAGCACCGCGGCGGCGGCTGCGCTGCTGCTTCCGCCCTGGGCTTGCAGCACAGACAGCAGCAGGTCGGCGGTGGCTGGCAGGCCGCTGCCCACGGCCCAGTACAGCAGCCTGGCGGCGGTGGCCTCCACCAGCTGGTACTGCATCTTCTCGGGCCGACCCACCCACTCGTGCACCACGCCCAGCTGCATGCGGGGCAGGAGGGGCAGGCAGGCGGCAGCGTGAGGCACCAACAAAGCATGCTGCATCGAGGATGAGCCATGGGGTTGGGTTTCCAAAAGACTTCGCACAGGTCGGCTCCAGCCTCAGGCACATGGCGGCGCCGGGCAGCAGAGGCGCGCGCCTGGTCCAGCAGGTGCGGGGCCAGCGCCCCGGGCCCGTGCCGCTCCACCAGCTGCAGCAGCTCGCGGTGGACGGCGGGGGAGGAGACCACCAGCACGCGGGCGCCTGCAGCACAGCAGGGAGGCGGCGGAAAGGGTGCCAGGCGCAGGCGGTCAGCATGGCAGGCAGGCGCGCTACGAGACTGGGACATTGCGAGAGTAAGCGGGCGGGCGGGCACGTCAAACCAACAACTGCCTCAGCTTGCCTCGAGGGGCGGTGTAGGCGTGGCGCTGGATGTCCAAGTGGAGCAGGCCGGGTAGCAGCGGCTCCTCCTGCTCCTCCTGCTGCTGCTGGCTGGGCAGCTGCAGCCGCACGCCTTGCAGGCAGGCTGCGCCCGCCGACACGCGCCTGCCGCTGCCGCCTGGCGCCTTGGGGCAGGCGTCGCTGGCGCGGGCACCGAGCTGCTGTTGCAGGCGGGAGGGGGGCTGGCAGGCCGGCTCCTGCTCCTCCTTGCAGCCGCAGCAGCCTCCGGGCGCAGGTGCAGGCGCTGCCGCCGCCGCTGTTGCCGAATCAAGTGGGGGTCCCGCTGCTGCCGCTTCGGCGGTCGGGCTGGCAGAATGGCAGCAGCCGGGGGGAGGCTCCGCAACAGCCAGGCCGGCGGCCGGCGGTACGGCTGCAGGCGTTGCCGTCGCAGCCTGCGGCAGCAGCCCCGCCAGCTGCAGCTTGTTCACGCAGCAGCCGCAGCACCGCTGCTCAAAGGAGGCGGCCGCCGTCACCGCCGCCACCTGCCCGGCCATGCCCACGCTGCTGCCGGGGTGCACCGGCGCGGAGCAGGCGCAGTCGGTGCACATGGCGGCGGCGGGCTGCACGTAGCGTCCCTGCAGCCGCAGCAGCAGGCGGCAGTCGTTCTGCAGCATGTTGATGCCTCTGACGCGCAGCGCGGCTGGCTGGCTGGCCAGCAGCAGAGGGGGCAAGGCCTCCAGGATGGCAGGCACGGCTCGGGCCGAGGCGCTCTCAATGTCCCAGGTCTGCAGGCAGGAAGGGAGACACCATCAGGGAAGGAGGAAGGCAGGCAAGCAGGGCTGCAGGCTGACAGCGCGCGATGCCCCTCAATGCATTGGGCCCCGCGCCCCAGGCAACGCACCTGGCGCAGGCGGCCCTGGTGCACCAGCGCTACATGAGACCCCGCCTGCACCAGCATGGTCCTGGTGCGCCACAGCGCCTCGCCTGCAGCCAGGGGCCGGGCAGACGGGTCAGCCGCCTGGCGCATCCCCGCATGCTGCAGCAAGGTGACCACCCTGGGGAGGGGAAGGGGGCGCCGCATTCGGCATGTGTTGTTAGCGCAGGCTGCAGCTCACCCGACCGAAGCATGCGATCCACGACGCGGCGCACGGCGCTGGCCACGCCGACCGCCCCCGCCGGCTCGGCTGGCGACTCGGCGGCACGCTTGCGTCCGCAGCAGGCGCCAGCGGGGTTCGGCGCCGCCACTGCGGCGGCAGGGGGTACGGGTGCGGGTTCCGCTGCGGGGGATTCTGCAAAGGGGGCCGAACGCAGCACCTGCGCCTGCCCTGGGGCGCCAGAGCGCGCCGCCGTGGGGTCACCACCGGCAGGCGTGGGCCTGTGGCAGCAGCTCTTGTGCTCCTCCTGCTGCTCTGCCCGGACCCCGCCTGGTGCCGCCTCTGCAGGCGGGGTCTCGTGCCGCCCCAGCCGCTCCTCTGCATATCCTCCCAGCATGGCTTGTGCCGTCAGGTGCACGCAGCCGGGCCGCAGGTAGCCATCCAGGCTGTGCACAGCGCCGTCAAACCAGCCCCTGCAAGCAGGAGGAGGAGCACAAGTTGACAACGCGCTCAGAAAGAGAGGCGTGGGGCTGGGATGTGGGAATATGAGATCCTGGGCAGCCGGCACAGGCTGCTCCCCTCCCGCCCCACTTACTTGAGGTGCTCTCTAAGTCCCATAGGAAGCTCGGCAGGGGTGCAGCCAAACAGCTTGACGCTGACTGTGGCCAGCGTGGGGGATGTGAGCGGTGGCGCATGTGGTGGCGGCGATCCGCCTGCCGCTGCAGCTCCCAGCGGCAGCGCGGCACCCAGCACAGGCGCTGGCATGGGTGAGACAGCGGGGGAGGAGGCTGTGCCGCCATACAGCTGGTGGTGGTGGTGGTGGCGGTGAGGGTGCAGCAGCGGCTGCTGGTAGCCGGGCAGCAGGCCATCCAGCGGCGCCATCACCTGCTGCCCCATGATGCCCCGCGCAAGCTGCAGGCTGGCGGGCTGCCCCTCCTGGTGCGCCGCCATGCCCCAGGCTGGGCCGGCACCTGCCGCCGGCCTGGGCAGCGCGGCCGGGGCCGCGCCGGGGGCGTGCTGCCATGCATGCTGCTGCTGCTGCTGCTGCTGCTGCTGCTGCTGCTGCTCGTCCTCCTCCAAGTTTCGGTTCAGCCAGGCGGCCAGGTCGTCGGCCAGCCCCGCCTCGGCTGGGTGCATGGGCTTCTGCTGCTGGAAGAGCTCCTCGTACGGCGTGGGCCTCAGGTCAATGTCGAAATCCAGCAGCGGCAGCGGCGGCGAGGCCGGCCGCGCCGCGCCTCCAGCTGCTGCCGCGGCACCTGCCATGTCGCCAAGCGGGCCGGCGGGCGCCAGGGTGGTGGCCACGGCAGAGGCGGAGGCAGATGTGTCTGGGCCGCTGTGGGTGGGCAGCGGTCCTGCATGCAGCTGGTCCGCACTCGCCTCTGCCTGCTGCCCTTGCTCCCGCTGCTGCTGCTGCTGCTGCTGGAGCTGCTGCTGCAGGCTGGCGCTGCGGGGAGATGTGCTGGCGGGACCGGCCTCGTCTGCGCTGCCGCTCTCATCCTGCACCCCTCCCGAGGGCCAACTGGCGCTGCTGCGCCACGCTGCCGCAAACGCCTCCACTGCATCGGCAGAAGGAGCAACGTCTGCAGACCCGGCTGTGGCCTCCGCCTCAGGTGAGCTGTCCTGCCGCAGGCGGCTGCGCTTGGGTGCCTGCTGCCGCCGCCCTCTGCGCACAGTGCCGCCGGCTTCGCCGCCGCCGGCGGTGGCGCCATGCAATCCTGCTGCGGCCGCCGCTTGGTCCTGCTGCCGCTTGCGCCGCCGCGCATTGTGCTTCTCAAGCTGCTTGCGGCAGCTGTGCTTGCCGGGGTCGAACTCTGCAAGCATCAACCACGTGTTGAGCGAAGGCCAGGAGAAGCCGGGATGCAGGATGGCCGTGAAGCGGCAAGCCCCCAGCCCCGCCCCCATCCCCCGGTGTTGTGTGTCCCCCGGTGTGCCCAAAACTGCGGGCGTGGTGCAACCTCACCTGCCAGGGCGTGGGCATGGCCGCAGCGCTGGCAGAACCGCAGCTGCTCGCCGTTGCGCAGGAACATGTCGGCTTTGATGTGAACCGTGCAGATCCTAAATTTGGGTGGGCAGTACAGGTACAGTAAGTTTGGGAGGGTGGGGTGCAACACGGTGCAACTTTCGCTGCCATGGCCCCAAGCCAGCAAAGTTCAGGCCACGCAGGAAGCGAAACCCAGCACAAGCTCACTTGTTGCGCTGGTGGTAGTAGGTGTGTGCTCTGAGGTCGGCCTCGCAGCCGTCGGCCTGGCATGCTAGGTTGCCGCCGCCGCCAGCCGCGCCCTTCTTCTGCTTCGCGTCACTGCGTCCGCGGGCTGGGGTTGCGCGAGCAGGGCCGGCAGCGGTGGCGGCGCCGCCCGCGCCCTCGACCGCCACCGTGCCACCACTGCTGCTGCCGGGCGTGCCTGCCGGGGGCAGGGCAGGTTTCATCCCATCTGCTGCGTCCGCCTTGGATGCGCCATCCCCCACGCAAGCCAGCGAAGCCAGGAACTCCACTTGCAGGCTTCCCGCCGCGGAACACCCAGCTGGATGCGGTGGGCGATGAGGCAGCCCGGTGGCAGGGGAGGCGGTGGCAGCCGGCTGCCGCGCTGTGGCCGTCATGGCTATAGGGTCCCAGTGCCAGTCCGCCTCGCTCCAGCTCATGCCATCCACTGCAAGGAGGCAAGAGCCTCGTAAATCCACAGGCGCTGCAACGGCAGGAGCTGCACGCGGCGTATACCAGCGGGGGTGGCCGCGGCAGAGCGTTCATGCAAGCCATGCCGCCCAGAGCCTCAAATTAATCGCAACCTTCCTCCCTTTGCCCTCCTCGCTGCCACACTGGCGAACCCCGGCGGAGAGACAATTGTGCCCCACCCAGACAAGCAAACCTGCAGCGGGCAGTGCATCTTCCCAGGATGCCACGCCTCGGGTGGGCATGGCGGCGGCGCCCAAGGGACTGCCCAGTGAAGCGAAATGGAGAGGCAGGCAGGCTGAGAGCAAGACGGGCAATGGAAGCCTAGCTAATGCCAAAGCGGACGTTTAGTGGCGAGGCTGTAGAACAGGAAGCCGCTGCAGAGAACAGGTAGCGCCGCGCAGGAAACTTGCCTGGTACAATCTCGCGAGGCCATCGCGGGTTTCTCCGTTTTTGGCCTCTTGGGCGCCTTTGATCACTCCGAGGGAGCAGCATAATCGAAATCAACTGGTGGGCAAAGCTGGGCTCGGACATGGCTGTGCGCTGCTCGGCACACGGAGCGAGCGTTTGCCTGCTTACGACGGAGTGCATCGCGTGCCTGTCCAGCTAGCAAACGGATGATGCCTGTGTGCCGCCACCTCTGTTGACTGCATGTTGACCAAGAATGCCGTCTGATCCTGCTCTTCGGTGCAGCCTGAAAGCGCAGCAGAGAGCACCGCAGCAGCAGCGGGCATGAGCAAGCCGGGCGACGACAAGGCGCTGGTGGCCGGGGAGGAGGGCGGCGGCGGCGGCGGCGGCGTGTCGCTGGGCAAGGGAGCCTGGGACTGCGACACCAACACAGGTAGACCCACGCATCTCGCTGACCTGTGTGCTTGCTCCCAGCAGCAATTGCCCCCCACCGCCCGCTGCCGCCTCCCGGCCCCCGCAGAGATCCCGCCGGAGCGGGAGGCCATTGTGTTTGAGGAGATTGCGACCATGGACTTCCCCTTTGAGGGCATCCCCACGGTGCCGCCTCGCAAGGACATGGACCACATGGCCTTCTTCTGCGGCGGGTGCAGGTGGGGGTGGCTGGGACACATACAACTGTGCGGGCAGGGGGCGAATAGGGAGCTGGAAAGATGCGGCCGGCGCTGTCACAAGATTGGCGGCGTCCACGCGAAGACGGGATGGCAGTGGGCGAGGCGAGCGGCGTCCTTCATGTGTGCCTGCCACGGGGTACCCGGTCCACCTCACGCATGGCGTGCCCGCTGCAGGTACCGCGTCACCGCCTACCCCGACTGGACGGTGGAGCGGGTGAAGCGGGCGCTGTTTGTGGGGGGCATCGCGCGCGCCAACAAGCCAGAGCACATCCGCAACACGCCGGGCATTCAGGCAGGGTGGCGGCCTGCAGCAGAGGGCAGCAGCATGCGCCTGCCGCTGCTGCCATCTTGTGGCTGTGCAGGCCCCGTCTCGCTCTGTGCGGCTAGCCTGCTAGCCAGCATGGCCTGTGGTGCTGATGCTGCCTCCCTGTCTTCTCCCGCCAACTGCAGAAGTGGGAGGACCTCGAGCTGATCTATGCGGGGCAACGCATGGCAGACAGCCAGCAGCTGGCAGACTACCACGTCCCGCCGGTGGGTGGGGGGTGGCTTGATGCCAACACACCAAGGTGGTGCACTTGCCCCGCTGCTGTAGCACGCCATGCTGCGCCTCCAGCTGCGGACGGCGCGTGCGCCCAGCTGCTGCAGGGCTGTCAGTGTCTGATTGCCATCGAGCGCGCCAAGCTGATCCTGGGCAAGCCTGACCCAGACTCGGCGTACTGGAACTGAGCAGCGAACGCATTTCCTCACCCGCGACAGAAGAGTGCCGCACCCGAGGACGGCTGGCGATGCACCAGCTTGCCCTTGCACTATTTTACTTCAGTGCTTGCACCCACTCATAAGATTGATGCCCTCTTGTCGATGAATCACACCTCTGCTGAAAGGAAGGGGGAAGGTGTGATGACAGCGGCAACGCGGTGGTAGTGTTCAAATCGGTTTGGGAAGCAGCCGCATTCACCTGCGCAGGTTTGAACAGGACGCCTTTGCACCGATCCAGCACATCTAGAGCTCATACATCCCTAGAGAAGAATGCCATGCTGCGCCCGCTGCGTGCGCTGCGGCATTGGCGCCCTGAGATCACCGAACCTCCCACGCCGCCATCTATTCGTTTGAGCTCGGTTTACTCTTTTGGACCTGCCGGAGAACTCACTTGGGCCTCGCAGGCAGCCATTGGAGCACCCGGCACTGCTCCCAACGTTGAATCATGCTCTGCACGCCTTCCCTCGGCAGGGGACCTGCTCTGCGGGGCAATGGCAGACATCTGAGGGCGCAGGGATCGCAGCTAGCACTGCGCGGTGGTGGCTACTTCCAGCGCCGCCCGGGCGCCGTGCCCACCGACGCAAGTGAGCTGGGATGTAGCATCATCAATACATCTCTTTTGCCACTGCAGATGAAGCTGGGTTTTGGGTTTGCGGGGATTTGTTCTGAAATCAATTCCATCGGTTGCGCACCCTGCCAGAATAATCACAACCAGTGCCGCCCGCCCCTGCATGCCTGCCGGGCGCAGTCGATGTTGGTGCCGACCTGGAGACCACCGGCCCTGTGGTCAGAGTTGGAGGGAGTGGGCTGACTGTGGAGATGCAGGGGGGCCCGATCCGGGTGTCTGTGCAGCCTGGGAGCGGGCTCAGCAGTGAGCTGCTGGCGGATCGGCAACTGGGCAACAGGGCATCGCTCAACCAGGAGGCTGCCATCGGCGAGGATGCAGAGGTGTCGTACCTTACTGGTGCGCTCCCGTGCATTTGCCCACCGTGATGTACTGCAAACGATCCTGGCCCATCCAGGGGGGTGCAGACGCACCTCAACCCAAACCTTTCCAACAAGTTGCTTTCATTCGCGCTGCCTGGGAGCAGGGCGCGCTGCTGCGGTGCAGAAGCACTTTACCGGCGCCCTCGGCGCCGACGACTTCATGCTGCGCCTGGAGAAGGCGCTGTTTGCTTTCGGCTTTGCTGGAGACAACTCCATCGGTGAGCGAAGCTTTAGCCAGTTGCGCCTGCTGAGCCGGAAGGGCGACCATGGCACCAGCAGCATTCCATCATCCATAGCAGGCAAGCCATGGCACCACGCACAAATCCCTCCTGCCATCCTCCTATGCAGCCATGGTGAACTTGTGCCGCGATGAAGTGACCGTCTCCCTGAAGCACCGCATTGAGCAAATCTTCGGCTCCTCGTTCTCCACCAACGGCCTGGGCGGCGTGCTGACGTGCGGCGTGACCGGTCTGGGTGCCGGCTTCAGCCACTCGCCGCTGTGCAGCAGCAACAAGGAGCGCTACGTCTTCTTCTCTCTCCCACACATCAGGTGGCACTTCGACTGGCTTGACAGAGACCAGCTTAATGCTCGGCTCATGTCTCTCTGCACTCCTTTCCTTGCTGGCCTCTGCACCCTGCTCTCACCGTGTCCTGCCCTCTTGCCGCCTGCAGCATCAACTCCAGGGGCGAGGTTGGCCCCATGTCCCGCCCCGGCCGCCCCGGCCAGTCCTGCGCCTGCGGCGCCCTGATCAAGGCCACCAACGAGATCAAGAGCGAGGGCCTGACCTGCAACAGCAAGGTCCCCGGCGGTGCGTCGCCACCTATAACCTGCTCGTCAGCACGTGCCATGGGCCAGGACCCTGCGCCCTGCAATCCCTTTGATTGGCTGCTCGCATGGATACCTGCCCTGCCATTCCATATGTTTTCCCCTCATTATCCCCCCGCAGTCCACGACTTTGCCGACCCTGAGATGTCGGTGCTGAAGCAGCGCATTGCGCGGCGGCTGTTCCACGAGGGCGCCACCGATGAGTCGGTCCAGGGCCTGACCCTGGGTGGGTGGCCGCTGGCTTCGCTGCTGCTGACCGCCTGCTGCTGCCTGCCCTGGTCGCTCGCCATTGTGCCTGATGCCAAGGAGCTTGAACAGCATGGAAAACAGTGCAGAGGGGTCACTGCCTGCCTGCCTACCTGCCTGCTTTATTGCCCGACTGCAGTGGATGTGACCAAGGTGGCTGAGCGCACCATCTCCGACGACCTCGAGCACCTCATCTCCCAGACCGTGGACACAAGCAAGGCCGACTACGCAGGTAGGCGGTCCGCAGTGTTTGAAACTGGCGTGTCTGGGGTGGCGTGGGTTGCTGCGGGAATTCTACAGGGACGGTTGGCATAGGTGCACCGAAATCCGCTCCCTCCCCTTTCCAACTTGTTCCTCCCCTGCCTGCTCCATGCACCTGCAGTAATCACGGGCGTGCAGGTGCACAACTGGGCTTACGAGTTTGAGGACGACTCCCCCAACCTGGAGTTTGTGGCGTCCACCAGCGTGTATGTGGTGGTTGACGGCGTGAAGGCGCACCTGGACATCGCCGCCATTCCGGTGAGCTGTCAGCCAGCCCAACAAGCTTAGGGGGGCGATGTCCAGCTGCTGCTGCTACCACTGCGTGCTGACACCCTTCCCCATCCCCTCCTGCGCCCCTGGCCTGGCCCCGCCGTGCGCAGCCCATGACGCCGCGGCAGATGCGCAGGGTGGCGGGCCGTGCCGTGGTGTGCGAGCGCGGTGGCGACAGCGTGCTGCGTGCGGAGGAGGCGCCCAACGGCTTCGACTCTAAGGAGGCCCGCAGGGCTCGCAACGAGCGGCTGCAGAGGTGAGTGTCATACACAATTTGCCCACGGTGAGCACAAGTCAACGGTGGGGCTGTTGTTGTCGCTCCTCTAGCCTTTTTCTTGAGTGCCCGACTCATACCGCCCACCCCCGGCCGCCTCTTTCCTCCCCATAAGGTACATCGACTGGATGCATGAGGAGGGCACCGAGGCAGAGTATGCAGCCACCGCCCTGCTCCAGCAGTCGCGTGCGGCACTGGCAGGCGAGACCGCCACCCCAGTAACCCCCGCCTGGCAGTCCACGATTGCCCGTGCCGAGCCTGAGCGCTGCGCCACCGACGACAACTCGACAGCAGCCATCGACGTGCAGTTTGCAGAAGGTGCGTGCAGCGGGCCAGGGGGGGCTGCGAAACCAATGACGCTATATACAGCCTTGTATGCGCCATGCGACGCAGCCTTGCTCTGCCCCTGTGCCGCCCTGCAGACAGCGAGGTGCAGCAGATGAGGGAGCTACTGGACTTCAAGTTCAACGCGATGCCTGCCGCTGAGAAGAATGATGTAGAGGTGCCGTTGCAGCCGCTGGCCGAGGAGCCCAGCCAGTCACAGCAGCCTGAGCTGGAGCCTGAGCTGGAGCCAGTAGAGGAGCCGCCTGCAGCTGTGGCTGCCGCAGCAGCGGCCGTGGAGGAGGGCAGCAAGCCGCGAGGGCAAGGTCGCCCCAGCAGCAGCGCCGGCAAGCGGCTGGGCGAGGTGCAGGCAGACGGTTCGATTCTTTATCGGGATGTGCACCTGATGGCAGGCCCCAAGACGGGGCCAGATGGTAGCCTGATCTTCACGCTCGCCCTGGATGAATGACCCCCGCAGCGGCAGCACACCACAAAATGAACCCTCCCGGAGTTTAAACAACTTCCCAATCTGTTTTGTGCTTTAGAGGTATGTCCCGATGTACTGAACCGTCTGTTATAGCATCCATCGCCATGCCATCTGCTATGCCATTGCTCTGAGCTTTCTGCCAGCCTGTACCTTGCATCTTTTATTGGAGTGACGAATCGAAACAAACAGATCAAACAGCAAGCTAACACTGTTAGGGGTGGGCAGGCACATGTCACAAGACGAAGACAGGCAAGCCAAGACACCCAAAAATGAACCTGGCTGCACGACAATGATCTGAAGAAAGGTGGCCAGCTCAGTCGCAATCTGACATGCCAATTTGCTGCTCCCACTGCTGCCGCTGCTGCTTCTGACGATCCTCTTCCTGCTCCAGCCAGCCGCCCAGCCCAAACACACCTGCAGCAGCCAGCCCTGCTGCTACCGAGCGCTGCGCATGCACCACCGGGTGCATGGCCAGCGCTGCCTCGGATAGGAGGGTGCGAACAGCGCCTGCCTGCAGGGGCAGCAGGAGCAGGGAATGAGGAGCAGGCGTGACTGACAGGCAAGCAACCTTTGAGTGGCGGGCAACTGCTCGGGGGCAGCATGTGCGAACACCAGTGGCAGTGAACTGGCACAAAAGCACCACTCACTGCAGTGCCCGCTACCCCCGCCAGAGCGGGCTGGTGTAGCGAAAATGTGCTGAACTGCTGAGGGCATGTCTGGAGAACGGCCTCACGGTGCTCCTGCTCCTGCCGCTGCTGCACCTCCCCCTGCTGTCGTTCTTGCTGCTGAAGGTGCCACCAGCAGCGCAGGCCAGAGTGGACCCCTGCCGTGGCATGGATTCGGGGTAGCAACACAGCTGTAATGGTGTGAACAGGCGACTGATGACCATGCATCACACAGGTGCATCACACAAGAAGCGCACCAATGAACGTGGCCAGTACTGGCGCGGTGGTGACGGCTCTAATCATCACAGCAAACAGACGAGTGGGGCACTCGCGCAGGTGGTACTCCTGTGGGCGGCAAACAAACATCAACCAAACGTGGGCGGCACAACCGCCGCCACTGCGCACAGCCGCGACAGCGGGGGCGGCGGCGAACGGACCTTGAGACAGTTGCGCATCACAAACCGCTTTTCCTCCCAGCAGCCCATGAGGATGCCTAGCACCAGGCCCGTGAATGCTCCCTTTGTGGCGCCCTGACAGGCTGCCTGGCCCGGGCTGGGCTGCATGCCTGGGGATAGGGCCATGGCTGGGGAGTGGTGGAGCTTGGACCTCGGCGCACTGCACTGCGAGCGCGAAGCAGCTCCAGAGAAAAGCGCGCTAGGGTTCTGGTGGCCACTTGTTTGTGGTCAAGCGATGCCCTGGCGGCATGTTAGCGCTCATCTAGGCGGTGTGCAATGCAGAACTGCAGTGTGCTCAGCGCGTGCCGCCAACTTGTGCTGTCGTGGCGGGTGCAGGTGCTGCGCCTGACCAGCTTAATGCAAGCCAGATTGGTCTCAGCCTGTGCAGCAATGTGGGGCGCAGCATGGAGCAGCTGGAGCCTGCAAGACGTATCGCGGGCCCCATGCTGAGCAGCGGCAGGGCCTCTGCCAGCACGGTGGTACCTGCGCATGACCTGCTCTTGCCCGTTTTCTTCTGTTATGCGAGAATGTGTGTAGTTGCAAGAAGTTGATGAGCCAACATGCACCACAGCTGTCTCAACAGCTGCAAGAGTGCATATTTGAAGGGAGCAAAAAAAGGCGGGCCAAAAGGCAGCCACAGAAACAGAAACAGGAGGCAGCAGCAAACACAAACTAAAGCGTGCGATGCTCAAGAGCACAAGGGCATCGCAACAATCTCAGAGCGCGCCCTGGCTCTCCGTTGACCGCGGCATGCTCTCCCCCTTCTTCACCAGTGCCTCCAGCTGCTTGGCGATGTCGGCCTTGCCCAAGCCGTCGACCTTCACAGCCTCCTCCACCCCAAAGTCTGCAGCGGCACAGCACGCAGGTATGGAGCGACATAGTCAGCGTGGTTGGCGGGCGTACGAGTCGCTGGCACCACCACAGCAAGCGTGGCGAACATGCGCCGGCTGGCAAGCCCCGCTTAGACAGCTGCTATTCGACTCTCGGTGCTGTGCACTTGTCCCACTGCTGTCAATGTGGCCTAGACTCCCAGCCTGACGAGCGCACCGTATCGCGCCACCAGCTTGGCCTCGACGCCGCTGCACTCCCGCACAAGGATGGGGAAGGTTGGGTTGGCTTTCTTCAGCTCCTGATAACTGCTCATCACAAAGTCCCTGCATCACAGAATAGCAGAATGGGGGGTGGGGGAGGGCCCAAGTGGGGAGCACCCGGCGCATGGCAGGCAGCCCACACCTGGCGCCCTCGCTAGCCTTTGAGGTCTGGCATAAGTGTATCCTGCACGGCCAGGGGAGGGCCCGACAGGTGAGCAGCCGCACAGGGCAGACCTCAGGCGCTGCTTCTGCGGCGCGGCCATGCAGCCCCCACCTCAACTCCTGCAAGTTCTTGCTGAGCGCACTGCGCCACGCCATCGTGCTGCCCGTGCGCTCAGCTGACCCCGCCAATCCCCGCTGGGTGTGTGCGCTGCTGCCGGTCTGCTGGGCGGTCCTGATGAAGTCAGGGATGCACAGGCCGTGTGCCCGGAGGCTCCTCATGTGACATCCTTGTTGGCATGCTGACTGGACCCAAAGCGTGAACTTCTTCATTCGGCCCTGGTTCGTTCCCAAAAGGCAGGTGTCCCAGAGCGGCAAACCAATAGCTACTATCGGTCCCTGGTTGGCAGCTGCTCTGCCCGCGCCCTTCCGGCACCTTTGACGCTGTCTCGCTCTTGGAGTGCCGCCACACATGCGCTTGCTGCTGTTGCTGGCAGTGGCGATCGCGGTGTCGTTGCCTGGCCTGCTCTGGCAGCTGCCTTACCCCGCCGACCGCGCCCATCCTGTCAGCGGACCAAGCGCCCGCTTGCTGCCGGGCTCACCAGCCCCTTTGCACCCAACACCGTCCTGCTGCATGCCCGGCAGCTGTTCCACGGCGTCAGCAAACCAGGCAGGCTGTGGCGGTGTGCTGGCTGCTTGGCGGGGCTGCGGCCGGTAGCAACCCCGCTTGTTGGCCAGCCCAGCACCCCGCGTTTGCGGCTGCAGAGACGCCAGTTGTGCTGGAAAACGGTAATGCGTATGTGGCCTCATCTGCAACTGGCCAACTGCTTCGGACCAGCGTGCACCACCCCGACACGTGCGTCGCCAGCTGCTGGGCCACTTACTGCCGACTACAGTCGTCTCCGAGAAGAGTTCTGTGTCCAGGTGCAGCATGAGCCTTGAACGCACCAACTTGGTGAGCCTTGAAGGTGCTCTCCTTATGGGTGCAGGCTTCAGCATGTGGCCTGGCTGGGGGCGCCCCTGGGCATGGCCATGCACCCAGATGGGCACCTAATCGTGTGTGATGCTGCCAAGGTGGGCTGGATGCTTTGTTTGATTTGGTGATTTGGTGGTTTGGTTGGGTGCTTTGGTTGGGTGCTGAGTATCTGGTTGTATGTGAAGGTGGGGGATGGGGGGGCGGGCAGTCAACAGCTGTACTCCCTGCGTGCACTGCAGCTGCGCACTCCCAAAGTCACTGCGCAGAACGGGTTGAAATCTGCCTCCCTGCCTGCCACGCAGGGCCTGCTATCTGCCGACCCGGCCAGCGGGGAGGTGTCGCTGCTGGCCAGTCGGTTGCCCAATGCGAGTCTGACGCCAGCAGAGGCAGACATTGTATTCTGCGATGGTGTAGAGATAGCACGGGACGGACGCATATTTTTCACGGATGCATCCCGCATCCCGCCACTGCGAGGGCCTCGGGGGGAGTGGGATTCATTGGGGGCTTCTGTGCTGGACGCCTTGCAGGCAAGTGGTTTGAAGGTGCATGCCGTGGAGCCGGTCCCTTTACTGCATGGCATGCCGCAGCCTCCCAAGCATGGGGTGTTCCCTGTGCTACATCCCTCATCGTAAGCCGCTTGCATTGTTCAAGAGCTGCTGCTGTGCCTTCTGGTATTGGGTGCAGGGGGCACCTCAGGGGCGGCTGCTGGTGTATGACCCACGTACCCACTACACCCAGCAGCTGGCAGACGGCATCTGGTTTGCGAAAGGGGTGGCGTTGTCTGGTGTGTGTGTGTGCAGCGCCCATCGCGCTAGAGAATCAGCAATGCACGGTCATCGTGCAACTGAAGCTCGCCATTCTCATCAATTTCAACTGCTGCCTCCTACCTTTGCCACCTGTGCTGCAGACAATGAGTCGTATGTTCTGGTGGCGGAGACGTTTGGGTGCAGGGTGCTCCGGCACTGGCTGCAGGGCCCCGCGGCGGGTACCACAGAGGTGTGAGCTGCAGCAGTTGCAACCGAGGCGCCTGGACAGACCCTGTTTGAGTGCCGTGCATCTCACCACCCGCGATGCCTTGCTGCTTTCAGGTATTTGTTGATGGCCTGCCCGGTTTCCCAGATGGCATCTCGCGTGCACCAGGGGGCGACAGCTACTGGCTGACCATTATCTCTACCCCCAGCCGTGAGCGGTGCTGCTTTTGCTACATGGACGAAACAGGCCTTTTGCCGCCAGCGCTGGCACAAATCCGTTGCTGGATCCAGCTGCGGGGCACTTGCGCTTGATTACGCCTGATAGGATTCTCCATCTGCGTGCAGCGCTGGCCAAGGCGCTGCCAAGCTCACAGCTGCTGCGTTGGCTGGTGGCCTGGCTGCCGAAAGCTTTGAACCCAAAGCCCACCCACGTGGGCATTGTTGCCGAGGCAAGTGCGGCTGCGGGCTGCATCCTCGAGTGTGAACACATGTGGCTTGAAGGAAGGATGCGGGGCAGCTTCTTGCGACCCTGCTGGCCTCCCAGCAGTGGCTGGGTCTGCAGGTGCTCCACCCCCCAGCAGTGGCCACTCACACACACTTCTCGCAGGTGTCTTCTGACGGACGTATCCTGCGCAGCCTGCATGACCCCACTGGCGGCCGTTGCCACACCTCTGCGGCGCAAGTCGGTGGCACGCTGTACATGGGCAGCCTGGCTTCCAGCCACGTATGCGCTCTGGACCTGGCGGCCGCCATCTGAGTCCGTCTGTGGAGCAGTTGCGGCTCAGCTACCGCTCTACATTCTCACGAAAAAGCCTCAGCTGCAACATTGACCGTGGCAGATGCACCGACAGATGCACTTGAGGATTGTGTGTGTATCGTCGAGGGACGTGCCGCCGACTGGTACTGCCATCTGTGGTGCACGGCAGCCGAGATGCCCACGGCAGCGGCAGCCTCCAGACTCTTACTCTTCTCTCACTCGTCTCTTCTCTCACATCAGATCTGCTGGTCGACCGACGTTGCAGAAGGCAAGACCAGAGCGGTGAGGGGGTAGGGTTGCAGCTTGCCAGGGCGTCACTCCTGATGCCATGCGCCAAAGGGACAGTATGGAACGGCAAGCCCGCCAAGCATGGCGGCACATGCATCCTCACATCCAAGCGCAACATGAAGAAGCTGGGCTGCCGGCTTGGCCCCATCGGGAGCTGGTGACCACTGGACATGGTTCCGCACCGTGAATTTGGGGATTAGGAACCAGTAACTGTTCTATTGCCTGCTATGATAATAGTCTACTTCTTTCGACATATTACACCTGCTGTGGTAATATCCATGCTTGCGCACTTTTCCCTCGCTCCGCTGTGCCTGTGCCATCGCTGGCGTGGCGGCGGGAGTGGCGCTAGTGCCCATTCAGCTGCCCCAAGCTTTCTTGTGCGCTGATTGAGCTTTCGGCCGCGGCATACCGCCTCGTGCTTATCTTGCACCATAGAAGGCTTGCAGGTGCGGGTGAAAGGCTCATCGATCTGACACCGCGCAGCACTGCCTTGGTTTTTGTGCAGTCGATCTCGGCAATCTCACCTACGCTACACTGACAACAGAACGCTAATAAAGGCCTTCTGGTTCTGGGTGCTGCCCTTCGTCTTCCACCCCAGCACGGCCTTGGTTTTGCGAAATGACAGGGGAGGCGAAGCCCAAAGCCCCCAAAAACTTCTATACTCAAGCGTGAGCACCCTGCAGTTTACCTGGGGAGTGGCGGGTTTGCGCCGCCGTGGGGAGTGGCGGGTGCGTGCCCCACCCTGCCTGCCACTCTGCCTGCTGCCCTGCACCCGCCTGCAGCAAGAATGACCCCAAGGTGCTGGCCCAGAGGGCGGAGCGCCAGGCGGAGCTGGACCGCGCGGTGGAGCAAATGCTTAAGGACAACCCGGGCAAGGTGCCGCGCTGGGACCAGGAGAGGATCATGAAGGTGCGTGCCACCTGCCGCTGCCATTGGCTGCTTGAGCTGGCTGTGCTGGCCTCCCTCCCTGCTGCCGAGCTTCTGATGACTGGATGCCTGAGGCTTTGGTGATACCTATATTCATTGCCGCGCCTCAGCGGCTCTGGCCTCCTTGCGCCGCCGCCCCCTGCCCTCGTTGATGGCGTGTTTAGATGGACCGCTTCTGCCTGGAGAATGGCAAGCGGTGCATCATGTGGGATGATGACGGCGCCGGGTTCTACCTGGTGAGAGTCCTGCTGTCTGGAAGGGGGCGGAACCAGCAGAGAGGTGCTCACATCAGCATGGCATTGCTTCCTTCCCCACTTGTCTTGCCCATGCATGCCGACTTCGTCACGCCGGTCTGATGGTCAGAACAAGTAAACCCCTTTTGCCCTGCCTGCCGCAGATGCTCAACTGGGACTGGCTGCGCAACCGGCCCATGGATCCGGCATCGTGGGAGGAGCAGATGGAGCGGGAGCAGGGCTGGTACCGCAACGTCCGCCACCTGCTGCACAAGCCGCTGCTGGACACCACGGTAGCCGAGGAGAAGCTGGCTGCCTGGATCGACGAGCACACCATGCGGGTGCATGGCGGCTTCCTGGACAAGCTGCCCAAGCTGCGCAAGGGCGACACCAAGTATGGGGTGGTGCTGGAGGACCCCTACTGGCAGGAGCTGCAGGCGGTAGAGTCCTGGAACCCAGCGCCAGGGCTCAAGCGGCCCCCGGCTCCCCCGGCGTATGCCACGGGCGTCTACCCGCCCCCCAAGCCGGCAGCGGCGCCACAGACGGCGAAGTAGCTGGTGGCTGTGTTTGGCAGCAGTGCTGTACCTGCTGCCTTTGTCCGGCTCCATTTGCATTCTGCCCACAGCTTGTACCAGCCAGTTATGTTCATTCACTGTTACAAAGTGCCAGAGCAGCACTACTACAGCACACCGAGCGGGGATTTGAAAGCTGGCAGTTATTCATCAGGAACTGGAAAGAGGGGGTCACAAGCGTTTGATTGATACACTTGTGTGGTTGAATACGTACAGGAGCACATTTGAAAGTGTCGGGTCAGCTAGTACGCCTGGATCGCCTGCTGCTCCATGGCCTAAGCTCCACAGCCCTAGAGGATTATGCATGGGCAGAGCCCAGGCTCCAGTCCTTGAGCGCTGCGCGCAGCCCTCTACGCCGCCTCACCGAGCGTTCATTAGCATCTCCTGGTCGGGTGGCACTGTGGGATGGCTGCGATACCCCAGCACGCTGGACAGCGTGTAGACGAGGGCCGTCATGCCGCCATAGTCCAACTTACGCCCTTGGCTGCACCAGAAGGGGTGACGGCAGCATACAATGGGATGGATTGAGGCAAGCCGGGCAGTCGAGCATCACAGCCGCCTCTCCCAGCCAAGCGAACCAACAAGCAGGTCGCTGAAGGGCAGCCCATGTCTCCACCTGTCCCGCAGCCAAAATGTGAAGGTCCTGCCCTCCGCCTCCTCGGCCAGCAGGCATGTGCCCTCGTCCAACCGCCGTTCATCCAGCTGCAGGAAGGGCAGGGCAGGGCAGGACATGGGAGTGTAAAGGTTTCAGGTCGCACATCAAATGCTGCAACAACAGCACATGGTGCAGGCGCTGCCTTTGGCCTCCTGCCGCACCTGCTCTGACCCCACAGGCTCGTCGTCACAAATGCCACCCTGCACCACGCCCTGGAGGATGCAGGTGTTCATGCCACTGCAGCAGATGAGGAAGGCATGGAAGGGACCGTTCAGCACCCAACGCAGCGCACAAACAGAGCGGAGGGAGGCGCAAGCCTACGGCTGCCTGGACGACGGAGCTCAGGCTGAGGCAGCAGGGCAGAACTTGCCTGAGGGCTGAGGCTACCTCCAGAAGAAACCCAGGAGTGGGCTGCGGTTCCAGCACCGTCAGCTGCAGGACAGGGGCAGCACAGCAGGCAGGCGAGCAAGCGCCGCTGACACTCCATCCGCCAACTGCCCCCTGCTGGTCAGTGGAGCATCTGCAGGGCACCATGTGCTGCAACTTGCTGCAAGATGCACGACAGCGCCCAGCGCCACCCACCACAGTGTACTCCTCGTGCTGGCTGTTGGAGATGTGGATGGGACCGGCGCAGAACTCGGTCTTGCGGGCAGCGTTCTCATCCGGGGAGCAGTACCTGCCAGGAGCAGGATGGATGGGTGGCCAGAGCCTGTTGGTGGCGAAGCTGAGTCAGGGTAGCCACAGCAAGCACCTCCAGTGCAGATGCCGGCTCACGTGACAAAGTCTCGTACGCGCTCGGCGAGCAGCTCCGCTGCGGCGTCCTGCAGCTTCTGCCCCGCACGGTTGGTCAGCCAGAAGGTGTTGTGGGCGATGCCGTCCTCGCTGGTGCGCACCACCGCATTCTGCGCCACTATGTCCAGCCCATTCAGGGTCCAGCTGATGACCCGTAGCAGGCCTGCAACCAGGGAAACAGCGGCGAGCAGCTGCACTGATTAAGGAGAGCCCCTCACTCTCCTCAGTTGAAGGCGCCTGCATCGTCTCCCCTACTCAACGTGCCTGGGTAGTCGCCTATTTCAATGTCCAGCACGGTGAAGCACTTGCTGCGCTTGTTGTCACAAGTCACATAGGCGGGCATGCAGAAGCCGCCCTCCACATCCTCTTGCTGCGCCGAAGCAGCAGCCACCAGCTGCCGAGGGGCTGGCGCCCAGCAGCCACCGCCGCCACCGTGCCGCCGCTGCTGCCGCCTACTGCCTGGCAGCCTGAGAACCATCTCAGGCCGCTCCGGCCGTCCCACAGCCCTCCATGAGGCCACCAAAGGTGCCAGGGCTTGCGCCATAGGCCCTTGCCGCAGGGCTCTGCTGTTGAGGAGAGGCACAACCCTGGGCTCTCGATTGTTTTGAGGAGGGGCGATCTGGTGGGAAGCAATGGGTGTTTCGTGATCGGTGCAGGGCTGAAAACCTGTTTTGGCCTGGCCTCATGCATGTTTGGAGGAGCCCTCTTTCCAGGCCTCCACCTCAGCCTCAACCAGAGCTCCAAGAGCTCCGGGGCTTTCTCTGACACTCTCAGCGACGCCTTGAACCCATCGGCAGCAACAGACACCCCGTTCCCAACGTGCGCCAAACGCGTCCCCTACTCATCTGCCCCGACCCTTGGCTCTGGCGGCCTGTCTAGCGCACCCAGTCGCCATGCAGCCCGACCCGCTGGCGGCGGCGGTCAGGCAGTGCCCGTTCCTTGCCCTGGTGGGGGCGCAGCAAGGGGAGCAATATGCCCGCAACCTGGCGGCCAACCCCTTCGCCCGGGCCTCGGCGGGGCCCCTGCTGCTGGAGGAGGGCTACGCAGCCACGCTCAGGCTGTTCCACGGGCCGGGCGGTGTTGTGCCCCTGCGCCGCTTTGACGCTACGGCCGCGGACGCCGCGCCGGCAAGCGGCGGCTGCCCCTTCCACGCAGCTGCTGCCGAGGCCAAGGCGCAGCACGCTAGTACAGCTAGCAGCAGCAGCCTCTCTCCCGAGCATGCAGTGACCACGGCAGCGGTGCCGGCAGCCCAATGCAGGGCTGGTGCGGCGGCAACGACGCACTCTGCGCCCTCGCCGCTGGCACGTGCCCCCTTTGCCTCCATCAGCATCTCTGGATTTGGCTTTGTGGTGAGCAAGGGAGTGCCGCTGATGGATTTGCAGGCGGCGGGCATTTTTGCAGCTTTATGGTAACTGACACATGGGCACCCGCCCAGGCTGTTGCCTCAAGACGATGCTCCTGCCCGTCCTGCGCCTGCAGCCCGACCCGGGGCAGCTGTTCAACCGTCCGCCGCGCGCCAAGCAGCAGCAGCAGCAGCGCAAACCGGCCGACCCAGGCAATAGCCGTGCCGGCACTACCGGCAATAGCAGCACCAACGGCGGCAGCGGCAGCAGCGGACGCCCCGGTGCTGCCAGCGGCGGCAGCCCCGGAGTGTCCTCTGGAGGCAGTAGCGGCAGCTCCGGGCGCCTGCACCCTGCTGCCGGCGCTCCAGGCAAAGGTGGCTGCACAAGCGCTTGGGGCCGCGCCATCGGCGGCCTGATCCCCCTAGCAGCCAACGGCCAGCTCTCCTGCCCCGCCCCCATTGTCAAAATGCGCGCGGTGGTAGCCGCGCTCAAGCCGGTCAGGCAGCTTCGACCGCAGGCGCTGCCCATCAGGTGCGGGGCGCTGCTGCGAGGGCGCTGTCTGGCGCGTGGGCAGCCAAGGGACCCTTCCCTCCACTCGCCTGAAGCCTTAGCTCGCAGCACTGGCGCTTCACTCCGCCGCCGCCTGGCCTTGTTGCTTACCAGCCGCTCCCGCCGGCTGCTCGCCCGCTCCCTCCTTGCAGGGCGCTGGCCATGGGCGGCACTGCCATCGCCGCCAACCTGCCGTGCGGGGCGTGGCGCGAGCACACCAAGAAGTTTTCGCCGCAGTGGTTCCTGGCGGTGCACGCCACCATCCCGTTTGTGGCCATGCTGCGCAAAGCCGTGCTCATGCCAAAGTGGGCCATCCTGCTGACGGTGGCGGGCGCAAGTGAGTCGCCGGGTGGTCGGCCGGGGGTGCATAGGCGCGATGCCGCCTGTCCCCGCACGCTGGGTTGCTTGACGCTTGGAGGACAAGAGGTTGCTGTTTAGCGCTCGTCTGCATTCTCGTGCGCAGAAGGCCTGGCAGCTGATCTGCTGCTGCGCCCGCTTGTCTCCATTCTCGCAGTTGCCGGCCAGAACGTGGGGGCTCGCATGGAGCGCAAGCGCGTGGTCAGCCGGCGCCAGGCTGGCAGAAGCGCAGCACGTGACTGCGTGATGCCAAGCCTAGACGACGGGTGCCGGCGGTGCCTGAATGCGGCGCAGGCAGCCATTGCATGGACGCTGGCCCCGGTTGTTGTGTCATAGGCCGGCCTCGGCCCGTGCCCTGCACCCTGTGTGGCTCCCCTGTGCAGTGCAAAATCTCGACATTGCCCTGTGGCCCTGCATTGGCACCACCGATCCCGCACCCATGCTCATACATACACTTCCCTACTACCTACTCCCTGTGATATTGTCTGTAAATTCAGGGGCAGCTGATGCTGCGCCATCTTTTGCTGTAAAGCGCAGCATTTTTGCTTTGGACATGAGAGGATTGCTTGGCAAAGGGGCAGGATGACAGAGGTTACAGGGGCTCTTTGGAGAAGATGGGAGGATCACATCTAGCAGCTGGACTAGTAGAACCGACGCTCCACCAGCCGCCAGTTCAAGTAGCCTACAGCGTAGCTGGCAACGAGCGTGGCGGCTATGAGGCCTGCCAGCGCCGCCTGCGGTGCATTGTCCAGAAAGGCGGTCAGCAGGCCGGGGGCCACCGTGACCAGCCCAATCTTCACCATCTCGTGCAGCAAATAGACCGAATAAGAAAGCGTAGCAGCCGCCGCAAGGGGGCGGGTGCTCAGCAGCCGCGCCGCGGCTGCGTGCAGCGGGTCGGAGCGCAGGACCAGTGCCAGCAGGGTAGCGCTGACGAGGCAGGCGTGGAAGGGGGAGCCGTAAAATAGGAAGGTCGCCACAAGTTTCGCGGCGAGGGGCGGCAGCAGGGGCACATCTTTCGGGGGGTGCAGGTTGCCTCCGCTGACGGTAATCAGGTACATGCCTTGCAGTGCAAACGCCGTGCCGGACACCAGCATGGGCCTGCAGGCAGGCAAGCCCAGGAAAGGGAGGTCTGGGGGATTGTACTTTGTGGGGGAAGGCCTTGAGCCTTCAGCAGGCACCAGGCGCCGCCATTCACGTACAACCCAAACTCCCACAACAGCTGCGCCCACTGACCTGCGCATCACCCAGCTGATGGCAGTGTGGGAGCGCAGCAGCAGGCCCAGCGCGGCGCCGATCGCCAGCTCAGCCAACCGACTGAGCGTTGGAAAGTACACGGTCTCGAGGATCCTGGTCAAATTGGCTTCCTCCTCGGGGACCGTCCGGTCACCCACCGGCAGGTGGAATTTGGCTTGCGAGGCAGACCAGAAGCGCCATGCGGTGCCGGCAGCAACCGCGGCGGCCAGGGCGACGGCGACGCGTGCGCGGAAGCCCGGCACGCGCGGCCGCAGCGCGCACAGCAGCAAGGGCCATGCAGTGTACATGTGGACCACAATAGACGTGGTCCAGAACTGCCCGCCTGCAGGCAAGGCGGCGCAAGGCGCAGCACCAAAGGGGGATGGCCCCCGATCAGGGGCACTCTGATCCAGCAGCTGGCCCAAACCATCAATTGAACCGCACGCCAGCACATGAGCAGCAGCAACGCACCGCAGGTTTGTGGAAGGCTGAGCCGATTGGTGACAAAGAAGACATTGGCCCAGAGGGCATGCGGGCAGCGTCCATAAGACACATCGCGGGCCTGGCTACCTAATGGCGGCAGCTGCCTGGTGGGCCAGAACATTACTAGCGCCAGCAGGTTGGCGACCGCATAGGCTGGCAGGATGCGCAGCGCTCGGCGCCGCCAGTACTTCAGCACCACCTGGCGGCAGCTGCTGCCGTGCTGCTTAGCGGCGCTGCCATTGCCTTTGCCGCCGCTGCCCTCCAGCACCGGCAGCAGATGGTATGTGGCCAGCACTGCCGACAGCACCAGGAATGTGTCTGCTCCACAGGCGCCCTGCACAGCCACCCTGCAGCATGCAGTGGGGGTTGTGGTGGCAGTGGGAGGCAGTGCTCCGCCTCCTGCCTCTTTGTGTACGCGGGTGGCAAATGGCGGGTGGCGGGCGGCGGGTGGCGGGCGGCGCTCACCACGGCAGCCAGCTGTGATTGCCCAGCTGGCGCAACACGTCGTAGGGCAGAAGGACGCTCCAGAGAGTCCAACAATGCACTACCAACACCCAAACATTGGCCAGAGCGCGCACTCCATTGAGGCACGACAGGCTGAGCAAACCATCGCTCGCGTGGAATAGCTTGGGAGCCCCCATGTCAGCATCAGGCTGCGAGAAAGCGCCGGGCATGGCGGGCCATCGCAGGCAGGTGTGGGCCCTGTACTGCGGGCGGCGGTGCTGGAACGCTGCAGGGCACGGTGATTTGACAAGCGGTGCAAATGATCTATGCAGGGTGACCGAAAGCAACAAAGAATGGCATACAAAATGGCACAAAGCAAGCACAAACTTCTGACCGAGGGCAGCCTCGCCGTGCCGCTGCTACACGCCACTAGCTGTGTCATTGCGGCTTGGCGCAGCCAAGGAAGCCTGTGGGGCAACCGGGTCTGAGGCATGCTCTGCTGCGGCATCAAATGCATCGCTGCTGCTGATTGAAGTTGCGTTCCTGCTGCTGGGCTGCGGCTCTGCTGGTTGCTGCTCGACAACCACTGGTAGCAGCTGCTCCTGCCCTACCTGCTCCTGTGCAGCTGCTGTTGTAGCATGCTGCATCACCCGCTCCTGCGCAGCTGCCACTGCTGCCGCCAGTGTAGCTTGTTGCTGCTGCTGCTTCCTGCGCTTGTAATCCTCCTCTATGCTGCTAAACAGTTTCTGCGTGCAACGTCAGAGCAACACCAGGCAAGGAGGCATTCAGGCGCACGCATTAGAAAAGAACCGCTGCAGGATGCAAGGCACAGGGCCAGCATGTTGTCCTCGTTCTGCATGGGCAAAGAGTCAGACAGGACAGCGGCACACACGCTCACCCCGCTGTTATTGCGCTCCCACATCGCCCCCGTCAGCGGCTCCAGCAGCAGCACGCCCCCCACCAGCAGCAGGCCTAGCGTGGTGGTGACCGCAGCACCCGCTCGGCTGATGCCCGCAAATGAGCGGAAGAGGCCAGTAAAGTCTGCGAGCCACAGCAGCAGTGGGTCAGCATGGCCTGGCTCCAAAAACAGAGGGAGATCTCTGGCATGCCCTGCACAGGAAGCAACACAACCCAGCAAGCTGCGTGTCACCAAAGCCGCTGCGGCGCCGGTACTGCCTCCAGCCCGAGTAGCGGCTGCCTGTGCCGCTGCCGTAGTAAGATGAGTAGGGATTGTAATGCCCTCCGGCGCCGCCGCTGCTGCTGGCGCTGGCGTTGTAATAATGGCTGGTCTGGGCGAAGCCGCCACGGCCCGCCGAGCGCTGGCGGTAGCGATGCGAGCCTGCAGGGCACGCAGAAGGTGCAGAAGCCATCGGTTGCTGCTTCCATGCGCGAGGCAAGCTATGGCATCTAAGGTGCCCACATCGGCATCCGCTGCTTACCGTCCATGAGCGCCTGGTAGGCCTCGTTCAGGGCTTTGAAGGCAGCGTCATGCGCTTTCTGCACGCCCTCGGACGCAGTGCTATGCCTGTGCAGCAGAAGAGGGGGGTGGGGTCAAGGAACGCTGGAGGCGTTGAGACCAAAGGATGTGCATGCTGTGCACAACACAGGACCAGCGCCGCTCCCTGCTGCTGACAGCTCACATGTCGGGGTGGTGCGCCATCGCTTTCTTGCGGAAGGCAGCCTTGATTTGAGCCTTGCTGGCATCCGGCTGCACTCCCAGGAGCGACCAGGGATCTGCCATGGCGCCTGCCGTAGCCGCTAACGTAGCAGGCTACTCCAGGAGTCCGGAATGTGTTCTGGTCTGATAAATGGGGGCTGCTGCTTGTTCAAGAAGAGTTGGCGGCGATAATGGCGGCAGTGGCCAGCGGTGGCCGCCCGACCTGAATGCCCAGCCACCCACCACTAGGCGCACAGGCTGGGGCGATCAGTTAGTTCAGGTTAGCCCTGGCAACGCCCGCAGTGGGGCCCCCAAGGCGGCAGCAAAGACACCCCGGCGACAGGGGAGCGGGCACGGGGGCTTTGCTTCCTGGTGGCTCCCTGAGTCCTCCAATCAATATTGCAGCAGTTCAATTGACCCGTGGCGGTATGCTGCTGAATCTCTGTGTTGCCGGTCCAGCTGGCAACGGCGTGGACAGTGATTGCGCACCCCAAGCCCATGGGGCGATCGCTGCTGTCACAGCAGGCCCACATTCCAAACCTGAGATATCTGGGGAACTCCCCTGCGCTCGACACGTGCTGCCAAAGCCCTTGGCTCAGCGTTGCCCCTCAGCACGCAGCCCGGCCGAAATTTTCAGTGGGCGGGGAAGTGGAGGGATCCAGTGAATCGTTGTCGCCCCAGGGCGCGGAGGGGATGGCGGGGTTGGGCGAGCTTGGGAGGCCCAGCTCCAGCGCCTCGTTCATGTCTGGGATAGCCAGGTCGCAGAGCGAGGCCCAGGTGGATGCTGTGAACGGCTACCCTGCGCCCGGCTCGCCCTCCAAGCTCAGCGAGGAGCTGGCTCGACGCCTGGCGGTGGCCGACAGCAACCCGCCGCTGCCCCAGGTGGGCGCAGGGAGAGGGCCCAGAGTGCTCGCTGCCTGGATGTCGTTGATTGCATGCATGGCAGCCGAGGCATGTACAGGCCATGCTACCGTCACCAGGAGCACCGGGGATGGGGGCCAGCGCTGCCCGCCGGTTCAAGCGGTGCCTGCTGGGGCCTTCTTGTGCTGGATTGCTTGTGCCACGCATCTTGTCTCGCAATGCTGTGCTTGATGATTATGGGCCAGCCCTTGCCTCGCTGCCGTACAGGCCACCCTGGCGCTCTCCAGCAGCGGCAGTCAGGGCCTGCCGCCGCCTCACGAGTTCACTTTTTTCTGTGAGGCCCGGCACGACGAGGTACCCCCAGCTGGCGCCGTTGAGCAGCAGGCGGGGCAGCAGCAGGGCGCGGCGGCTGCGTCGCCGGGGCGAGGCGGGCAGGCAGCAGGTGGCCAGCTGGTGACCACCCATGGCGGCGCAGGCACCGGCGAGGGCCTGGTTAGCAAGTGGCGGCAGAAGGAGCGGTTGAAAACGACGGCGGTGGCGCTGGTAATGTGCCTCAACATAGGTGAGCTGTGAAGCTGTGGGGGCAACCCTGAGGCCTGCCTCAGGGCGCGTGCCGGAGCAGATAGCGTGGGCTAAAGCAGGGAACCGCCGCTTTAGGCAGCGTGTGCCACCGTCCCCATCGCCGCGCCCTCCATGCACCCCAACCCGTCATCCCTTCCAGGCGTGGACCCGCCAGACGTCATCAAGATCTCGCCATGCGCCCGCCTGGAGTGCTGGGTGGACCCTCTGTCCATGCAGGCGCCCAAGGCGCTAGACACCATAGGTGCGTGCAGCGCCTGCGCCCTCAGAGCACACACTATGTGTGGGCAGGCCCGCCTGCGGTGCATGTTGCTGTCGAGGGCAGGCTGGGGCTTGGGGCGCCGACTCCCCTACCCGTGGCTTTCTCTGCATGCACACGCGCATGCCAGCCTTCTCCCTGGCCCCCTCGCCGTGCAGGCAAGAACCTGCAGGCCCAGTATGAGCGGTGGCAGCCGCGTGCCAAGTACAAGATGCACCTGGACCCCACCACTGAGGACGTCAAGAAGCTGGCCATCTCGTGCAGGCGCACCGCAAAGGTGCGTATGTGCGTAGATGTTGGGAGGGGGTAGGAAGGCTGGGTGGGGCGGGTAGCGGTTGACCGCTCGCTTGTGGGGGTGCCCTGGCATGTGGTGTGCTGCTGAGCCCAAGCAGGTGCCAGGGGATGGCAGCATTGTTCAAACACCGCTGTTGTGGCGCCCTAGTCTCAATGCGGTTTGGGTGTACCCTTGCTGCGACTGGCCGCTGCAGGGCGAGCGGGTGCTGTTCCACTACAATGGCCACGGCGTGCCGCGGCCCACCGCCAACGGCGAGGTCTGGGTGTTCAACAAGAGCTACACGCAGTACATCCCGCTCTCCATCTACGACCTGCAGGTGGGGCGGTGCAAAGGGGGACAAACAGGGGAGGGGAAGGGGACTGGCTGCTGCTGGGGTTCAGCAGGCCCGCGCTCTTGCTGGAAGGGTGGCCAACTGGCACATGGGCTGCCCCTGCCTGCCCTGCTTGCAGACATGGGTTGGCACGCCCGCCATCTATGTGTTTGACTGCTCCGCGGCGGGACAGATCCTGTACAGCTTCCGGGTGAGTGAGCAGGAGGAGCTGGCATTGCTTGATGATGGAAGTCAAGCGTCCCCCGGCTGTCCCAACAGCGTTTTGAGCAATAAGGTGGTCCCTACGTGACCTGCCAAACTGTGCATTGCTTCCTGCAGCAATTCATGTTCCAGCGGCAGCAGGAGCTGGAGGGGGGGTACATGCAGCAGGCGGCTGCCGCAGCAGCAGCCAGCGGCGCCGTGCTGCCGCCACCGCAGAGCTTAGGGGGCGGTTATGGGGGTGGGTGCCCAGCTGCAATGTCTTGGGCGTTGTTGCCAGCCCCATGCCAGCGCTCTGCTTTGTCCCCACGGGTGTTGCGTCCGACCCCAGATCTGTCCCTGCCCTGCTTTCTCCCCCTCACCCTCTCCCCGTCGCCCCTCCTTTGCCTCCGCTCTGCGCCCAGATCCCATGCGCGACTGCATCCTGCTGTGCGCGTGCGGCGAGGCGGAGCTGCTGCCTCAGAACCCCGACCTCCCGGCCGACACCTTCACCAGCTGCCTCACCACGCCCATCAAGGCACGTGGGGGAGTGAATCACTCGCACTTGAGCTGTGCCCCCAAGTCACCGCCTCAACCGCTCACACCTCTGCACCGCCGCCGCCGCCTGTGCTCCCTGGCCCGCCTGCCGCAGGTGGCGCTGCGCTGGTTCTGCTCCCGCTCGCTGCTGCGCCACGAGGGCATCACCAAGGAGCTGATCGACCGCATCCCCGGCAAGCAGACCGACCGCAAGACGCCGCTGGGGGAGCTCAACTGGGTGTTCACCGCCATCACAGACACCATCGCCTGGAACGTGCTGCCCCGCGCCCTCTTCCAGAAGCTCTTCCGCCAGGTGCTCACACCAGGGCGGAGGGCAGGGGGCGGGAGATGCCCTGCAGGCGGCGGTCCCGCTGGCATCACACCGTGTTGAGAGTCACCCCGGCCCCTCGCGCCCTCCATCTCCCCTCCTCCTGCCACTGCGCAGGACCTTCTGGTGGCCTCGCTCTTCCGCAACTTTCTGCTAGCGGAGCGCATCATGCGGGCAGCCAACTGCAACCCCGTGAGGTGCGATTAGCTGCGAGGGGAGGTGCAGCCGGCAGCCATAGCTGGATTGTCAGCTGAACTTGTGTCCCGAACTGTGCACACTCGCTGCTTCCCTGGTCCTGCAGCTACCCACGCCTGCCGCCTACGCACCAGCACCCCATGTGGCAGGCCTGGGACATGGCGGCAGAGATGTGCCTGCTGCAGGTATGGTGGTGCTGCTGCCCCGCACTACCTGTGCCTTTGAGCTACCTGCTTTCTTGACGCTTCTCTCGCCTGGAGCACGCCTTGCTGCTTGCCGAGCATGGCTCCAACCTGTTCTTGAAACCGCGCCCATGCATGGTCCCTCCCCTGCAGCTGCCGGATCTGCTTAGCGGAGACGGCACCAAAGAGTACCAGCCCTCTCCCTTCTTCAGGCACGAGGAAAATTCAGCCTTTGCGCGGCGCCTGTTTTGTTGCAATACTGCTCCAGCCTGTCGCGACCTGTGATGTCGCTGCTGACAGCATTGCCCTGCCCATCCTGTGCGCCCTCTGCCTGCAGCGAGCAGCTGACTGCATTTGAGCTGTGGCTGGAGCACGGCGGCCCCGACAAGAAGCCGCCAGAGCAGCTGCCCATCGTGCTGCAGGTGCGCTGCTGCTGCTGCTCTGGTTTGCACCGCCCCACTCTCTTTCCTGCTGTCGTCACATCCGTGTGACTCAACCCGCCACTGTCTTCGTGCCGCAGGTGTTGCTGAGCCAGGTGCACCGGCTGCGGGCGCTGGTGCTGCTGGGGCGCTTTCTAGACATGGGAGCCTGGGCTGTGGACCTGGCGCTGTCAGGTGTGTAGACCAGGGCGGTACGGTGCGGTAGACCGGGTGGTTGAGAAGGGATGGCTGGGCATGGGAGGCTAGGGTCTGATTGCGTGAGCTCCGGATGGGCAAGACCCTGGGCAGAACACGGCACGGCCCTGCACCGACTGTGTCCCTCTCCCCATGCTGACTGCCCCTCTTTTCGCCCTGCTGCAGTGGGCATCTTCCCGTACGTGCTGAAGCTGCTGCAGACCACCGCCACCGACCTGCGCCAGACGCTGGTGCTCATCTGGGCCAAGATCATGGCCTGGGACACCAACAGCCAGGTGGGCAGGGCGGGGCACACGGACCTCGGCTGCTGGAGCCTGCCGCTGCGTGGAGGGAGCCGGGCGGCTGCGCACTTGCTTGGCCGGTCTGCCTGGCGCCACGCCCCAGCATTGCTGCCGCTGCAACGGCGGTGCCGCCTGTGTTTCGCAGGTCCAGAGCGACCTGGTCAAGGATGGCGGCCACCTGTACTTCATCAAGCACCTCGAGTCGAGGGACCCGGGGGTGTCCCCAGAGTCCCGCGCCCAGGCCGCCTTTGTGCTGGCCGCCATCTGCAACCGCCACCCCAAGGGACAGCTGCTGTGCGCGCAGTCGGGGCTGCTGCAGGCAAGCGGGGCCCGTGCAGTGGGCCGCAGCAGCGCCTGCCTGCTGTCAGCTGCCTGCGCCCTGGTCGGCAGGACGCACGCTCAGCCGGCTGCGTGCCCCCCCCCCTCCCCCCGG